CACAAAATTCAATTTAAACCAGCAAATAATAGAGCCTACTAGACTGGAGAATACACTAGACCTCATATTCACTAACAATGATGATCTGATAAGAAATGTCACCATATCAAAAACAATATACTCAGATCACAACATAATTGAGGTTCAGACATGTATGCGTGGAGCCCCAGACCGACAAAATGAGACTAGTCACGAGGGAGCATTCACCAAATTCAACTTCAATAACAAAAACATAAAGTGGGACCAAGTAAACCAAGTCCTAACCGATATAAGCTGGGAAGATATACTAAGCAACACAGACCCAAACTTATGCCTAGAACAGATTAACTCGGTGGCACTCGATGTATGCACAAGGCTTATTCCTCTAAGAAAAAGGAGGAGTAGATGTAAAATAGAAAGAGACAGGCGCTCCCTTTACAGGCGACGGAAAAGAATAACAGAGCGGCTAAAAGAGGTCAATATATCTGAAATGCGCAGGGAGACACTGGTCAGAGAAATAGCAAGCATCGAACTTAAGCTAAAAGAATCCTTTAGGAGTCAGGAATCGCGGGAAGAACTAAAAGCCATAAATGAAATCGAAAGAAACTCCAAAGTATTTCTTCTCCTATGCCAAATCAAAATCGAGAACAACGTCCAGTATTGGGCCCCTACTTAAACAAGATGGGTCCTACACAGATGACAGCAAGGAAATGAGTGAGCTACTCAAGTCCCAATATGACTCAGTTTTTAGCAAGCCGCTAACCAGACTGAGAGTCGAAGATCAAAATGAATTTTTTATGAGAGAGCCACAAAATTTGATTAACAACAAGCCTATCCGATGTTATCCTGACGCCAAATGACTTCGAACAGGCGATAAAATGACATGCCCATGCACTCTGCCCCAGGGCCAGACTCATGGAACTCGGGTGTTCATCAAGAACTGCAAGAAGCCCCTATCACGAGCCTTTTCCATCCTATGGAGAGGGAGCATGGACACGGGGGTCGTCCCACAGTTACTAAAAACAACAGACATAGCCCCACTCCACAAAGGGGGCAGTAAAGCAACAGCAAAGAACTACAGACCAATAGCACTAACATCCCATATCATAAAATCTTTGAAAGGTCCTAAGAAGCAAGATCACCACGCATCTAGAAACCCATCAGTTACACAACCCAGGGCAACATGGGTTTAGAACAGGTCGCTCCTGTCTGTCTCAACTATTGGACCACTACGACAAGGTCCTAAATGCACTAGAAGACAAAAAGAATGCAGATGTAATATATACAGACTTTGCAAAAAGCCTTCGACAGTGTGACCATGGCGTAATAGCGCACAAAATGCGTGCTAAAGGAATAACAGGAAAAGTCGGTCGATGGATCTATAATTTCCTCACTAACAGAACACAGAGAGTAGTCGTCAACAGAGTAAAGTCCGAGGCAGCTACGGTGAAAAGCTCTGTTCCACAAGGCACAGTACTCGCTCCCATCTTGTTCCTCATCCTTATATCCGACATAGACAAGGATGTCAGCCACAGCACCGTGTCTTCCTTTGCAGATGACACCCGAATCTGCATGACAGTGTCTTCCATTGCAGACACTGCAAAGCTCCAGGCAGACATCAACCAAATCTTTCAGTGGGCTGCAGAAAACAATATGAAGTTCAACGATGAGAAATTTCAATTACTCAGATATGGGGTAAACATGAGGAAATTAAATCGTCATCAGAGTACAAAACAAATTCTGGCCACAAAATAGAGCGAAACACCCAAAGTCAAAGACCTGGGAGTGATCATGTCGGAGATCTCACCTTCAAGGACCATAACATTGTATCAATCGCATCTGCTAGAAAAATGACAGGATGGATAATGAGAACCTTCAAAACTAGGGAGGCCAAGCCCATGATGACACTCTTCAGGTCACTTGTTCTATCTAGGCTGGAATATTGCTGCACACTAACAGCACCTTTCAAGGCAGGTGAAATTGCCGACCTAGAAAATGTACAGAGAACTTTCACGGCACGCATAACGGAGATAAAACACCTCAATTATTGGGAGCGCTTGAGGTTCCTAAACCTGTATTCCCTGGAACGCAGGAGGGAAGAGATACATGATTATATACACCTGGAAAATCCTAGAGGGACTAGTACCGAACTTGCACACGAAAATCACTCATTACGAAAGCAAAAGACTTGGCAGACGATGCACCATCCCCCCAATGAAAAGCAGGGGTGTCACTAGCACGTTAAGAGACCATACAATAAGTGTCAGGGGCCCGAGACTGTTCAACTGCCTCCCAGCACACATAAGGGGGATTACCAACAGACCCCTGGCAGTCTTCAAGATGGCACTGGACAAGCACCTAAAGTCAGTTCCGGATCAGCCGGGCTGTAGCTCGTATGTTGGTTTGCGTGCAGCCAGCAGCAACAGCCTGGTTGATCAGGCTGTGATCCACCAGGAGGCCTGGTCTCAGACCGGGCCGCGGGGGCGTTGACCCCCGGAACTCTCTCCAGGTAAACTCTCTCCAGGTAAATGGGGAATGACTCATTAGATCGGCTTCATTTTTTTATTAAATGGTGTGGTTTCTGGAATATAACGTTCACGCTGCTATTTGAACGCGATTATGGGGCGAATATAACACATGACCTGTAAACATTACTCGTATAAATCATGGTATGTGTGGGATTTGAACACACAGCAAGTGAGTCGTAAAACTGGGCCAGTGCGTTAACTACCGGGCCAGCTGGCCACCCGTACCGTGGTTTATGCGAGTACTGTTTACAGATTATGTGTTATATTCGCCCCATAATCACGTTAAAATAGCAGCGTGAACCTTGTAATCAGAAAACCACACCACTGATGGAAATTTGAAGCCGATCTAATGTGTCATTCCCTATTTATGGTTTGTTTGCAATGGTGTTATTACGATGTTGTAAGTCACTCGTATATATCCTGAGCTTAGAGTGAAGCAACATGAACATGATGCACAACTGGACATGCATCCAGGTCAGCAGTGACTGTGAACGCAGTGAAAAAATAATTATATTAAATAATAACAAGCCTGTCTTCTTCAGCACTGACTCTCAGTTTACTCACTGTACATGTACTCTCTCTTCTGTCATTTGCTTCTGAAGATGTATAGTTTATTACACGAAAATACCCGAACTTATTGATAATTCATTGTGATGATCTCTGCATGCCTTGTAGTCCCGTGTTCTTGTGGTTTAACTACGCTAAATCAGAGGAAAACAATCAAGAGATACTGAAACACAGAAGCGGTAATTAAACAAGCTAAATAATAATATTATACAGCATTGAGGAGAAAGTTCCGTATTGAGGAAAATTGGTGAGCGAGCAGGGCTGGTCCGTCAGGTTGAGGGACACAAGAGCACTGAAGGGGCTCGATACGGCGTAAGGTGTCAGTGGTCCTATAAACCTTAACAACAACAATAACAAGAACTTTGAAGTCTTACGTCAGGGCGCGGTCCCGGCGAAGAATCCTGATACACACGATGATATAAAATTGTTATTCTGCTCTTCTGTTACAGTACTGGAGGAGGGAGAGAGAGAGAGAGAGAGGAAGAGAGAGAGAGAGAGAGGAGAGGAGAGAGAGAGAGAGGAGGAGAGGGGAGTGAGAGAGAGAGAGAGAGGAGAGAAGAGAGAGAGAGAGAGAGAGAGAGAATATGAAAAGAGGAATGGGACAGGAATAGAGACATCAATATGAATATCGTGATACCATTACACCACAAGTGACTGAAATGCAAGTAAGCGAAAGGATCAAGGTTCGAATCCTCAGTATTGGTGGCCCACATTATTCAAAGTTCCTTCACTTCAGTCACCCGTATACACGCACTAATATACAGATACATCCAGAAACTCACTTCAGATGCCCATACCACAGTCCAAAAATTTGTAGGTAGCCTATGCATGGAGCCAAGCTCCTGGGCCAGCTCACTCCAGCTATCACTTTGATTCCTATACAAAACCCAACTCTATTTTGCTCATCATAAATGAGGTATTTCATCTAGAGCAAAATATATTCTATTGTGAAATTAATAACCTCGTTCCATTTGTGTTACCAATGAGGCGTCAGCTCTCTCATCCCATTGACCGCAAGTGGGTCATTAAGGCTGTAATTTAAATCATCGTTAACATCGAAGAACAAGTTAATTCCACAAATACGGATTAAGATAAACTCTGTGTATATACAATGAAAGACGAAGAATTGGACACACGTGCAACATCTGGGTATCTTTATTTGCAGATGTCAACATACCATATATAATTGCCTAGTTCTAACAGGGTGAGCGGTACTAGTTAATTAAATTATACTACAATACAATATGAAGTATAAGTTTACTGAGAATTATTCCTGCAGACATAAATATAGAAAATAAAGAAAAATGTAATACTATGTAAAGTTACGAGTACAAGAGCTATGTCTGACAGAAGGTGGTGCAACCTATCGTTCAGTATATGGGAGAAGGCAAAAGGAAGCTGAAATACAAGAAGTACTGGGATGGAATTGGGTGAAAAGCAAGCAGGTTTCAGGATTTGTTGGATGTAGTACAGGAGGGCCCCACTTTACAGCACTTCGCTTTACGTCATCTCGGTAATGCAGCAGTTTTTAATTATATCCATTCTTCATTATTCAAACTTCCTACAATAAATATATTCATCATTCACTATAAGCTAAGAACGAAAATATTTTAAGGTAAGTAATGTGTACAGATAGATACACAGATCTCAATGTATATGTGCAGACAAATACACAGATCTCACTGTATATGTACAGAGATACACACCTCTCACTGTATATGTACAGACAGATACACACCTCTCAATGTATATGTACAGACAGATACATACCTCTCAATCTATATGTGCAGACAGATACACACTGTATATGTACAGACAGATACACACCTCTCAGTGTATATGTACAGACAGATACACACCTCTCAATGTATATACACCTTTCGGTGTACATTCATTGCCACATCACTAGCATATACAATCACATACCTTCTTCTCCAGGGACCTGGCGTCATCGCTGGCAGCATCGTCCTCAGGGCGAGCCATACCCACGATGACTGACGACCCTCCCTCCTCCTCCTCCGGCAGGTCCGGGAATTTGCCAGTCTCGTGCCTGCACAACACCACACGATGATGAGAGAACATCATCCCCTCTTCAAGAACCCGAGATCAGAGGAAGATATCCTCTCCTTCCTTTCTGATTGGTTACTTGGGGATGGCGAAGAGTTTCAACTTTTGACTAGAGGCAATGTTAACAATTCCATGTGACCTGATTGGGCTCTGAAACCTTCCATAAATAGGCTCTGAAGTGATAAATAACGGAGTAATTAAAGTTTGACAGACGTTTATGCTTAATTCAAAGTTAAGAATTATTGGTTTATTGAAAATTATGAGCAGTGCTAATGGGGCGAATTTTGTATTAACAAACTTACGTACTAATTTATTTTGTCATTTCTGATCTAGGTGACGTTTTACAAGCGAAGAACCTGGGTTCAGTCCTGCACGGGGACAGGTGCATGGGTAAGTCTTCTGACACTTGCTACCCTTGCTCATCCAACAGTAAATAACTACTTAGCTGTTAGACCAATGGTGTAAGTCGCATGCAGAAAAAAAGGACCAAACTATTTGGTTTTCTTGGGTTGTCCTGAGTACCAACCCTCCGGGATTAATACTAATCCGATTAAATACACAATACCGTGACTGGAACAATATACAAATAACCCACACATAAAGAGAGAGAGAGAGAGAGAGAGAGAGAGAGAGAGAGAGAGAGAGAAGAGAGAGAGAGAGAGAGAGAGAGAGAGAGAGGATCTTACGACGACGTCTCAGTCTGACTTGGACCAGTGACAAAGTCACACTAACACAAAAGAGTGAAGGAGCCAGTATATACTGCCTCCTTCACTCTTTGTGTTAATGTGACTTTGTTAATGGTCCAAAATGGACCTAGAATTTTTTAACTGTGGTCCCCAAACACATCCAAGACGTAGAATGGTTTCTTGATAGACTCCACCACATATGAAGTATAGAACTCCATCAGCCTGAGTTGGGAGACTAATATAGTGACGGGGACACCTTCAAGCACTCCACCATGGGTTCAAATACCTGCCACAACTCCAGACGTCCATCCAGCAGGCTGCAGTTACTTTTACAAAGCTATTACCATTGTATCAATCGCATCTGCTAGAAAAATGACAGGATGGATAATGAGAACCTTCAAAACTAGGGAGGCCAAGCCCATGATGACACTCTTCAGGTCACTTGTTCTATCTAGGCTGGAATATTGCTGCACACTAACAGCACCTTTCAAGGCAGGTGAAATTGCTGACCTAGAAAATGTACAGAGAACCTTCACGGCGCGCATAACGGAGATAAAACACCTCAATTACTGGGAGCGCTTGAGGTTCCTGAACCTGTATTCCATGGAACGCAGGTGGGAGAGATACCTGGAGTTTACCTGGAGAGAGTTTCGGGGGTCAACGCCCCCGCGGCCCGGTCTGTGACCAGGCCTCCTGGTGGATCAGCGCCTGATCAACCAGGCTGTTGCTGCTGGCTGCACGCAAACCAACGTATGAGCCACAGCCCGGCTGATCAGGAACTGACTTTAAGTGCTTGTCCAGTGCCAGCTTGAAGACTGCCAGGGGTCTGTTGGTAATCCCCCTTATGTATGCTGGGAGGCAGTTGAACAGTCTGGGGCCCATGACACTTATTGTATGGTCTCTTAACGTGCTAGTGACACCCCTGCTTTTCATTGGGGGGATGTTGCATCGTCTGCCAAGTCTTTTGCTTTCGTAGTGAGTGATTTTCGTGTGCAAGTTCGGTACTAGTCCCTCTAGGATTTTCCAGGTGTATATAATCATGTATCTCTCCCTCCTGCGTTCCAGGGAATACAGGTGATACATGATTATATACACCTGGAAAATCCTAGAGGGACTAGTACCGAACTTGCACACGAAAATCACTCACTACGAAAGCAAAAGACTTGGCAGACGATGCAACATCCCCCCAATGAAAAGCAGGGGTGTCACTAGCACGTTAAGAGACCATACAATAAGTGTCATGGGCCCCAGACTGTTCAACTGCCTCCCAGCATACATAAGGGGGATTACCAACAGACCCCTGGCAGTCTTCAAGCTGGCACTGGACAAGCACCTAAAGTCAGTTCCTGATCAGCCGGGCTGTGGCTCGTACGTTGGTTTGCGTGCAGCCAGCAGCAACAGCCTGGTTGATCAGGCTCTGATCCACCAGGAGGCCTGGTCACAGACAGGGCCGCGGGGGCGTTGACCCCCGGAACTCTCTCCAGGTAAACTCCAGGTAAACAGATTTAATGGAAGTGCTGAGGACTTTATGCAAAAACTGAAATAAGTGCTTATACATACGTAAGAATAAGTTCTATAAAAGTTTGTCGTGTTGATTGAATAAGTAAGTTTATTTAGGTACAGATATACATAAATACAGTTACATAAATGATCATACATAGCAGTATATGTATAGATTACCTGGGATAACCCCAAAAAAAAAGTCAGACAAAGTGACTTATTTCCATTGGGATCCATAGATTATTTCCAAGGTCGTATTATTTAAGGTAAGACACGGGAATAATGGTACAGGAATAAACAATAATATAATCAAATTAAGAGTTAAACCCAAAAGAATCATACAGCGCTTCAGGCAAAGATGTGCGAATGGAGGAACGTGCAAAGGTGATGAATGAAGGACAGGAGTGAGGGAAGGCAGGATGATTGAGGAGGTAGGGAAGAGTGCAAGATAAAAGAGAATTAAAATCACAGTTAGTGCCGTAAGTTCATTTTTGCTATAAAGTGTTGAAGGTGGGTACAGGAAGAAATCATGAATAACCACAAATGAATTTCCACTATAATCTTTGACTGTACTGGGTTATTCTAGGTTAAACTTGTACAATAAGATAAGATAATGTACTATACACTTGTGCCCATAACATTTAAGTGCCCGTAAAGTTGGTGGTCAAGCACCCCAATGGAAATAAGTCACTTCGCTGACTTGTTTGGGTTATCCTAGGTAATTTACACTATGTATAATTGTGTGTGTACTCACCTATTTGTGGTTGCAGGGGTCGAGTCTTAGCTCCTGGCCCCGCCTCTTCGCTGATTGTGTGTGTGTGTGTGTGTGTGTGTGTGTGTGTGTGTGTACTCACCTAATTGTGGTTGCAGGGGTCGAGACTCAGCTCCTGGCCCCGCCTCTTCACTGATCGCTACTAGGTCCTCTCCCTCTCTGCTTCCTGAGCTTTGTCATACCTCTTCTTAAAACTATGTATGGTTCCTGCCTCCACTACTTCACTTGCTGTGTGTGTACTCACCTAGATGAGGTTGCAGGGGTCGAGTCCGAGCTCCTGGCCCTGCCTCTTTACTGATCGCTACTAGGTCACTCTCCCTGAGCCGTGAGCTTTATCATACCTCTGCTTAAAGCTATGTATGGATCCTGCCTCCACTACATCGCTTCCCAAACTATTCCACTTACTGACTACTCTGTGGCTGAAGAAATACTTCCTAACATCCCTGTGATTCATCTGTGTCTTCAGCTTCCAACTGTGTCCCCTTGTTACTGTGTCCAATCTCTGGAACATCCTGTCTTTGTCCACCTTGTCAATTCCTCTCAGTATTTTGTATGTCGTTATCATGTCCCCCCTATCTCTCCTGTCCTCCAGTGTCGTCAGGTTGATTTCCCTTAACCTCTCCTCGTAGGACATACCTCCTTAGCTCTGGGACTAGTCTTGTTGCAAACCTTTGCACTTTCTCTAGTTTCTTCACGTGCTTGGCTAGGTGTGGTTCCAAACTGGTGCCGCATACTCCAATATGGGCCTAACGTACACAGTGTACAGGGTCCTGAATGATCCTTATTAAGATGTCGGAATGCTGTTCTGAGGTTTGCTAGGCGCCCATATGCTGCAGCAGTTATTTGGTTGATGTGCGCTTCAGGAGATGTGTCTGGTGTTATACTCACCCCAAGATCTTTTTCCTTGAGTGAGGTTTGTAGTCTCTGACCCCCTAGACTGTACTCCGTCTGCGCCTTCTTTGCCCTTCCCCCAATCTTCATGACTTTGCACTTGGTGGATTGAACTCCAGGAGCCAATTGCTGGACCAGGTCTGCAGCCTGTCCAGATCCCTTGTAGTTCTGCCTGTCTTCGATCGAGTGAATTCTTCTCATCAACTTCACGTCATCTGCAAACAGGGACACCTCAGAGTCTATTCCTTCCGTCATGTCGTTCACAAATATCAGAAACAGCACTGGTCCTAGGACTGACCCCTGCGGGACCCCGCTGGTCACAGGTGCCCACTCTGACACCTCGCCACGTACCATGACTCGCTGCTGTCTTCCTGACAAGTATTCCCTGATTCATTGTAGTGCCTTCCCTGTTATCCCTGCTTGGTCCTCCAGTTTTTGCACCAATCTCTTGTGTGGAACTGTGTCAAACGCCTTCTTGTAGTCCAAGAAAATGCAATCCACCCACCCCTCTCTTTCTTGTCTTACTGCTGTCACCATGTCATAGAACTCCAGTAGGTTTGTGACACAGGATTTCCCGTCCCTGAAACCATGTTGGCTGCTGTTGATGAGATCGTTCCTTTCTAGGTGTTCCACCACTCTTCTCCTGATAATCTTCTCCATGATTTTGCATACTATACATGTCAGTGACACTGGTCTGTAGTTTAATGCTTCATGTCTGTCTCCTTTTTTAAAGATTGGGACTACATTTGCTGTCTTCCATGCCTCAGGCAATCTCCCTGTTTCGATAGATGTATTGAATATTGTTGTTAGGGGTACACATGTGTGTGTGTGTGTGTGTGTGTGTGTGTGTGTGTGTGTGTGTGTGTGTGTGTGTGTGTGTGTGTGTGTGTGTGTGTGTGTGTGTGTGTGTGTGTGTGTGTGTGTGTGTGTGTGCGTGTGTGTGTGTGTGCCTGGGCCTAAATAAACTTCCTTATATACTACATTATAGGTAAACAGCACCACAGTTTCCGTAGTGTAGTGGTTATCACGTGCGCCTCACACGCGCAAGGTCCCCGGTTCGATCCCGGGCGGAAACATTTACTTTAGGTACGAAGGAAATAGGTCACTGTGTTTGGCTGTAATGTGGTATTCTAGGTTAAATCTACATAATGAACTTGTCATGTGCCTAAAACATCTATATGTTATCTTGACTTTTAAAATAAAATGCTATGTTCTGTATTTAATGCATGAATTTAAGAAAAATAATCATCTTGGAAGTCAGGCACAAAGATGCACCAAAAATGCTTCAAATTTACTTCTCTAGGGCTAGTAAGTAAGTTTCCGTAGTGTAGTGGTTATCACGTGCGCCTCACACGCGCAAGGTCCCCGGTTCGATCCCGGGCGGAAACATTTACTTTAGGTACGAAGGAAATAGGTCACTGTGTTTGGCTGTAATGTGGTATTCTAGGTTAAATCTACATAATGAACTTGTCATGTGCCTAAAACATCTATATGTTATCTTGACTTTTAAAATAAAATGCTATGTTCTGTATTTAATGCATGAATTTAAGAAAAATAATCATCTTGGAAGTCAGGCACAAAGATGCACCAAAAATGCTTCAAATTTACTTCTCTAGGGCTAGTAAGTAAGTTTCCGTAGTGTAGTGGTTATCACGTGCGCCTCACACGCGCAAGGTCCCCGGTTCGATCCCGGGCGGAAACACGTTGTTTTTTTTTTTTTTAAGATGGTAGGAGCTCTGAAGGAACTGAATACACATGTAGGGCAGCTGAACACACACATGGATGGCAGCTGAACACACAATGATGGCAGCTGAACACACACATGGATGGCAGCTCAACACACATGGATGGCAGCTGAACACACAATGATGGCAGCTGAACACACACATGGATGGCAGCTGAACACACATGGATGGCAGCTGAACACACAATGATGGCAGCTGAACACACACATGGATGGCAGCTGGAGACGAAGAAGAGCCACAGTAATTGCAGGGAAGCTCTCTGATAGCGGTCAATACGTAAAGTGAACTACAGGAATAGAATATAGAGGCCGAGAGACAGTCTCCCGAGTGAGTGTAGTGGAAATGGCTAGGAACCAGTACAGTTGGTCGATAGTAAAGAGGTGAGGCCAGGAGCTATGTAGTAACCCCTCAAAACATAACAAGAAAGAAATATTAATCGTGTCTGCCTACTTTCTGTGCTCGACTGAAGAAGCCTACTGTGTAGGCGACACGTTTCGGAACACAGATGCCTAACTTTTGCGTATGTGTCTTGCTTACATAATATTAGTCATTTCGTGTTTTTCAATTACATTATATAGTTGTTGTCCCCTCAAGGAAGGCTCCTTGACGCTGGTGAGGGGCTCTTGATCTAGGGAATTGGATCTGTGCTCCAGTTCCCTGAATTAAGCCTGAATGCCTTCCATCCCCCCATAGGCGCTGTATAATCCTACGGGTTTAGTGCTTCCCCCTTGATTATAATAATAATAATAATATATAGTTGCTGTATCCAGTACAGTATGGGATAGTCGAAAAAAAATATTATTATAATTATTATTATAATTAAAAAGAAACGCTGAACCTACAAGGGTCCATAGATATCTTATAACTACTAAAAAAAAAAATGAAAAAAAACACTGGTCATAGCTGAGTTGCAATCTTTGTAAAGACAGTTTGTTTATCTAGTCGAGGTAAAATGAACCTTACTGGAAATGAATCACACTCATTGACTTTGTTGAATTATCATAAGTTAAGACATGGGATAAGAGCGCTGAGGAAGACTCAGGATTATTAACCCAGCAAAAATAACCCGAGTGACTTATTTCCAACGAGAGTACTGCATTTCTGTTTGCCCAGGATGCAACCTACATCAGTTGGCTAACACCTGGGAACATCAGGTATTAACCAACTAACCTCAGCACAAGCTACCTCACTTGTCAATTTATTTGCAGTTGTGATAATACCATTGTGCTCTCTGAACATTACAGTTTACCGTTCTATAGTGTGGTTCCTTTGTGTTCCGTACTATTTATATCGTTTATATGCGGTAGACTTCCATGCATCGCCCGTCTGCATAGTGATTTTCTTGTAAATTTAGTTAAAAAAAAAAGGTGCATCTAAAACTGACTAGCGCATGTTATAAAAGCCTTTCCACATACTATTCAATCCTGGATGTAATTTTTTCAATCCCATTTACAAAAACCGTACTATATAAAGAGCTTTTTAAGACTGCCAACTGTAATCATTTTCTTCCATAGCGAATGAGCAGAAATTTCTCTTCTGTAAATATGTTATTGTTTTATGTGGTCCACTGCAAGACTTAGTTTACATGGGATGGAAGGCTTCCTCTGTGCTCCTTGGATGCCACATTGAACTTCCAGTGCCGTCTGAGAAGTATGATAGCGCTATGATTTATATATGTTTATAATCATGTATATGTAGTGACCCTGCAGCCTACACGAGACTTCCTGCCACCACTACCCATGCTTACGCTGCCCACCACAACAAAGCCCTCCCCCCCTGTCACCACCAGTATAACTCACCCTGTCGACCACAACAAACAAAACCTACCTGTCACCACTAACATAACTCACCCTGTCGACCACAACAAACAAAACCTACCTGTCACCACTAACATAACTCACCCTGTCAACCACTACCCACATACACTAAAAATACTCACTTCTTCTGAAACATCCACTCACGTATCTTATCCTCCATGGAGGTAAGAAGGTGGGTTCCCTCTTCATAGACAATCTTGGTCTGTATATGTTTCTGAAGGTTGTCCAGCTCAGTGGTCCTCTCCTCCTGGGCGAGGTACCGGCCTTCGTAGACGTTCAGTAACTTCTTGTCCCAGCTTCGATCCAGTGTTGGGTCTGGACGCTGCACGAATATTAACGTCCTGTTACAATAAACATATGCTGCTATGTATGATAGATTCTACGTAACTGTATCTGTGTATACCTGAATAAACTTACTTACTAACCGAGGAATCGATTAACAAACAACACACACTTTGGCTAAAGGACACTTTAGATGTTTTTTCGGACCCCAATAGAAATAAGACACTTTTGCTGACTATGGGGGGTTTATTCTAGGCAATTTACAAGTACGTATGTGTACCTGTGCCTAAATAAACTTACTTGGCCCATCCTGGACCATTAGGATCGTGGTCTATGGCGAACCAAAACAATGAATAAAGTTTTCTCTCCAACGCGTCAGTTGACTGAACTGTTCCAACAATTTACTGTCACTTTTAACCATCATATAGGACCCTCTTATATGTTAATTGAATGTTTTCTTAATATAGGCTTTGTTTTAGGAGTATTTGGACAACCCAAATTATTATTATTATTACAATTAAAACCAAACGCTAAACCCACCAGGGTCATACAGCGCTGAGGACAACCCAAAGATAAGTATTAATAGATTTTATTCTGATTATTAACCCTTAGATTCCAGAATAACACAAGAAAAAAACTCTGGCTTATTTCCATTTGGAGGTCTTGTGCAGCGAGAGATAAAGACTGAGGTGACACATAACCCACACCACAGCCTCGCCACTTACCAGACCTAAGAAGAGTTCCTCCTGGAAGCGCATTTGACGCACTCTGCGCCTGGCTAGCATGCCTCGTGTGCACGCCTGCAGCCTCACCACTGCTACCTCCAGTGACACTTGCTGACGTCCTCTACCTCGCTCACGTTCCTGCCAGGGAGAAGTACAATGTAACAATCACTGTACACCCTAATGTTCCTTAAAAGGGGTAAATGCACTAACAAAAATAATTACGGCACATTTCCCCACATTTCTGAGGGAGAATTTCATCGTAGCAGAACACATCACACCACATTTAGCATTTCTCTCAGGAAGAATCTCCCCGTGAGAAACACACTGTGGGATGTATTTCTTGAACATTGCTTATGGCTTTCACTTCAGTTTAATGGTCGTGTAATATCGGTCTTGAGAAGTACTCAGCTCAGTAATTTTGAAGATTTTTTTTATTATAAACGCTAAACCCATGTGGGTCACTGGGTCATTCAGGCTTGACCCTCTGTCTGCTCAGAGCGATACAGACGCATTCTACCCGTAATCTTGAAAAATGGACTATGGATATAAATATGACATGTCGTTAAGACACTTGTCAATATTGTATACCATTATAATATTCATATTGACTACGGAGCTGAACGCCTCTCAAGGCTGACTATCTCAAGGCTGATGAGTTGGTTACCTGTTTAGCTATGAGGTCACGACGGTGGTCAGACTTGGCCCTGCCTTGCTTAGCTCTCTCATGCTTCTGCAGCAGCAGGATGGCCTCTGACACGGTGAGGGGCGACACCTCGTCCTCAGACACTGCCTCCAATCCCGCACGTCGTAGACACTCGTCTATTAACACGTTTCTCTGTCAAAAATTATGACAGCGCTACAATAACCATGGAAGGTGCTACGGTGTAGTGAAAGGCGCAACAATAACCATGGAAGGTGTTACGGCAGTCGTGGAAAGCTCTACAATAACCATGGAAGATGCTACGGTGCAGTGGAAGGCGCTACGGTGCCCTTTGAAAGTTCTATGGTAACCGTAAAAGGTGCTATAGTAGCAGTGAAGGTAGAGGACTACGTTACTGTCGCAGTTAACGGAAAAAAAACTCTTAACCCAAGTGTATTCGCCGAAAATAAAGATAAAACTCCTAAATAATAATAATAATAATAATGATAATAATAATAATAATAATAATAATAATAATAATAATAATAATAATAATAATAATAATAATATAATAATATAATAATAATAAAACTTACATTTTTCACTCTTTAGAATAGTTTGCATTCAAGTGGTAGTCTTACCAACCTCTGTGATGATGGGCAGCCTCTCTCTCCTGACGTAGGCGGGGATGGGGACGACCAGGTCTTGTGGTGTCAAACTGAGCTCCATCATAATGTCATCACAGTGGTGTACATCACTCAGCTCCAGCGACACCAGTTCGTGCTGGGGAACACACAAACATAACTGAATGAAACCTTACGAATTGATTTTCGATTATAGAAGCTACGTTTTTTGAGCGTTATTTCAGGTAATTGACACATGTGTTAGGTAAGACACATATGCAACAGTTAGACAACTTTATTCCGAAACGTTTCGCCTACACAGTAGGCTTCTTCAGTCGAATACAGAAAGTAGGCAGGAACAGTAGAGATGTGAAGACGATGTAATCAGTCCATCACCCTTAAAGTCGTAGAATTTGAGGTTGTCAGTCCCTCGGCCTGGAGAAGTTCAGTTCCATAGTCTATGGAACTATGGAACTGAACTTCTCCAGGCCGAGGGACTGACAACCTCAAATTCTACGACTTTAAGGGTGATGGACTGATTACATCGTCTTCACATCTCTACTGTTCCTGCCTACTTTCTGTATTCGACTGAAGAAGCCTACTGTGTAGGCGAAACGTTTCGGAATAAAGTTGTCTAACTGTTGCATATGTGTCTTACCTAACAACCTGTCGGTATTGTATACCATTTTGATGTTCAATTGACACATGTGTTACTAGGTATGGCATGTACTTATGTGTACCTAAATAGACGCATTTAGTCCCTCCCTCTGGGAAGGTTCCTCAATACTGGTGGAAGGCTCTTGATGCAAGTAAGTAGAGTATCATGTAGTGGTTAGAGCAGAGTACGATAAGATTTTGTTTGGATTTTTAACCCGGAGGGTTAGCCATCCAGGATAACCAAGTAAAGTCAGAGCGTCATCGAGGACTCTCTTATATCCCCTGGGTCCTTTAATCTTCTTTCCCAAGATGACACTCAAACAGTCGACTAACACCTAAGAACCTGAACATCAAAATGGTATACAATACCGACAGGTTGGTAGGTAAGACACAGGCAACAGTTAGGCAACTTTATTCCGAAACGTTTCGCCTACACAGTAGGCTTCTTCAGTCGAAAACAAAGTAGGCAGGAACAGTAGAGATGTGAAAACGATGTAATCAGTCCATCACCCTTGAAGTCGTAGAATTTGAGGTTGTCAGTCCCTCAGCCTGGAGAATCTCGCACGGGAGATTCGTCTGTAAAAACTTGCATTATTGGTCACAGTGGTGCCTGTGCTAACCTTCGTATGGTATATAAATATATCTAGTTGGATGAATCTTATTGTAGCCAGCTGGCCCAGTGGCTAACACGTCGGTCTGGAGTTTTATGACTCTCCGATCGCGGGTTTTTTCCCCACCCGTAATATGGTTTGTTTACAATCGTGTCATTACGATTTCGTGAGACAGAAGAATAGTTGGGATTTTGAATTCTACTCTTGCCTAACGTATAGTCATGACCTAGTTCCACCTCTGGATTTGTCCAAGGTGACGCAACCTACGACTGCTTAGCCTCACCTGTCTGCAGTATATAAGCTCCTTCGCATATATCCCTGTATAAGAAAATATTAGTGGTTATAAATATAGCCATAATTTTTAAAGGGGTGGACAGGTAAGCCAGCGGAAGGTCTCCGTCAGATGACCAAAAGCTCCTGTTGTGGGTCATATGACTAAGAAACAATCGTCCTGTTTCCTGACAAACCTTACCTAACCTAAACTATATGCTGCACTCTTTTGAAGACTGATGGACTGATCACATCGGCTTCAGGCTGAGGGACTGATTACCTCAAACTCCTTCTGATCTTCAGCCATTCTTCTCTATGGCAGACTGAGGAAGCACTGATTGGCGAAACGTTTCCACAATAAAGATGTCCAAGTGTTGCATAAGTATCTGATTAATAAACCTGTCGGTTATATGAACCAGTCATGTACACACTAAAGTAGGCCTAGGGGCCATACTAGGCAGGTCATTTCACCTTCAGCTCGACGATCCTCCGATGGTTGCGTCGAGGAGTCGACGCAGCAGGAAGCGCTTCTGAGGGTGCAGGAGGAGGTCATAGCAGGTGCTAAGCTTCCTAGCAGCTCCTAGGTACTGTACATACACCCGCCGCACTCGCGTCGTCACCTCCCCGCGTTGCTGCGTTTATATAGACGAAATTAGGTACTTAAGATGTGTTTCTACACTATTATACATGATAGTTACACAGTGGGAACACCCACAGTGTAGCTGCTACACTATTCTACATAACTGTTTATCTTACTCTTAAGACTTAACGTGGAATAAGTTTACATATTTCATATGTTTATCAATACCTTCTATAATATACCAGCAGACTTAATTTTAACTTTACATAGATGAAACAACTTACATCGTGATGAAATGTTCCTTGAAGTTCTTGATCTTTCTCCAATATAACAGTCAGTTCATCCTGAGCTTCGCCCCACAAGGCATTAAATGTCCTGCAAAGTAATAATTATTATTAGAAAATTAATAAGAACTGTTGTATGCTGTTACATTGCTATTTATTTAGATATTTAGGCTTTGTATAGTGTACCTGAACGACATTGTCAGTTGGTCACAGTTGTTTACATGGTTGTCATGGCAACATCTTTTATAAATATTTTAGGCACTTTGGGCCCTTCAAGGGAAAGGGTTCCTTGATGCTGGCGAGGGGCTCTTGATCTAGGGAATTGGATCTGTACTCCAGTTCCCTGAATTAAGCCTGAATACCTTCCATCCCCCCCCCACGTGAGCTGTATAATCCCACGGGCTTAGCGCTCCCCATGATCATAATTATAATAATAATTTAGGCATTTTGGTCAGTTTATTGTCTAAATTGATTTGGTAATTAATTTAAAAATTTAAATGCAAGTAAAACTGACTAAAACAAAATTTTAATAATGGTGCTGGAAAGTAACTGTTGGTTATATTTATTTTTATAGAGCATTATTCATTTCATGATATTCACCAAATTATTGCAGTATTTAAGCAATTATTGCCTTTTATTGAAGTTTTATTAAAGTACAAACAGACTGGTTGATCAGAGACAGTGTTGCAATTAGCGGACGGAGGATCGAACCTTCACCACTCCTTGCTCTAACTGATTCACACAGATACATAGCTTCCCTAAATAAAATTTTGAATTTTATTGTCTTTTTAAATAATTAATAGTGTTGTTTAGTGAGGATTTATTAAAACCATCATGATAAACAATGCTACAAAGATAGGCTCGTAGTTCACAATGTTTACATATTTTTGTTACACTTCGCGCCAAATTTACGAACACGTTGGTCTGCTTAGCCGCGGGAGGAAGATACTCAGGTCTCTCAATTTTTTTAAGTGTTTTAGCGTTTCATTCGTTGTATCTGACTTCGCGTGAGGCCATATTAGTGCTTAAAGATGTATGTCAAAGTACGAACAATGGATGGTAGCCTGACGGCTGTGGTGACCATATCTAAACTGACCAGCGTCCAGGACTTCAGGGTGATGGTGGAGGAGAAGCTCAAGGTAGCGACTGACAGGCAACGGTTATTTTATCGTGGCAAACAGGTGAGTGCTTAATATTTATTTTAGATATTGTGGGTAAGGAGCAGTGCCCCTGCCAAGAGCTGCCACCACGTTATTTGGCAATTTCGGCACATATTATGGACAGTTACGTAAGTTTATTTAGATACAGGTACACATAAGTACAGTTATACATAGTAACATATGTGTAAACTACCTAGGATAAAAAGAAGTCAGGCAGAATGTCTTATTTCCATTGGCGTAGCATGCTTTATTTTGAGTGCCAATAATCTCTGATGTTCCCAGGTCGTCTACTGGTCAGAAGTCTGATGTTGTCCTTCTAGTGGAGAGTTCTCCCGTACCAAAATTTTGAAAATGCCCCCCCCCCTTACCAAAAAAAAATCCTAACCTGACCAAAATTTTCTCAGTGGATAATTCGTGGCCAAATTTTAACTTACAAGGCCTGCTGACTGGTGGTTTGAGAAGTTGGAGACTTAGCCAGACATAACATTTTGCATAAACTTTAATTATAGAGTGAATTTTAAATGTAATGGACCAGTATGAAGAGAGGGTGTCTAGTAATGCCAGTTCTGTTTAATTTGAATAAAAAGATTGTTTTGCCATGATCTAAATAAATTACAATTTTGGAAATGACAGATTTTGTCCATTGTTTCTGAAATCAGTTTACCTAGTAGTACATAACAGAAACAGACAATTTTGGAAACAATAGACATGTCCACTGTGTCTGACAGATTTTGTTTGTTATTTCCGAAGTCCATTAAATCTAGAGTTTAAGGCATTTAAGGTACAGTATATAGACTTAAGAACTGTGTTTTCTTTTAACAGATGGAAGATGGATACAACTTGTTTGACTACAACATCAACATTAATGATGTAATCCAGCTGATGGTTAAACCAATCTTGACAGAAACTAATACAAATACTCCCAGTAAGCCTCAAAGTATGAAAAAGGAGACCAACTCTACTACAGATAAAGAAAATGTACAGGTATTGAGTCTATTTCAAGTGTAAATTTTGTCTTAATGAAGTTTATGTAGAGTTGATGAATAAAAATATGTAACATCTGGGTTTATATATTGATGGAGGACCCTTAAAGGTACCTATTTGGGAATGCTTGCAACTAATGGTTATTAAAAAGATGAATGGGGGGAAAAAGGGTTGTCACATAATAGAAAGTATTGAAAGACAGCATATCAATGACCAAATTTTCAGAAGCTATTTAAATAAATCAATTTGCTGTAGTATTTTTATAGTTATCTGTGTTCTGATTAGTATTGTACTATACAGTACCTTGATGGATTAACCAAAACAAGAAACTGCAATATTATCTGCATTCTGGCTAGTTATTTTTCAGGCAACTCACATTCATTTGCTAAATATTAAATTTTATTGTGAGATTTTTTGGTTATGTGATTCCAGAATGTACATCTTAACAATTGCCCTATTGTGACACAATCATCTGTTTTGCCTTTTATTTGTTATGGTCATCATCATCATATATTTACAGAATAATGAGAGGAAGAAGGATAGTATCAGTGAAAGCGAAAGTGAATATTATAGAGTTGGAGATCTGGTAGATGTCAAGTTTCTCTCTGATGGAACATGGTGGGAAGGAAAAATTGTGAAGATAACATCTGCCCCAGAAACCACAGAGCCTAGTAATGGAGACGATGGTTTTCTCTATCATATTGTTTATGAAAGGTAAGTTAAAATCTTTAGCATTTAATTATAGTAATGTAGTGAGGTAAATTTGTTGTAGAATGAACCGTACAAAGTACACTAATTAAAGATAGCAAGTAGCCATCCTCAACATAATGCTGTATTTATAGATTCACTTTTAGGGAAATGCAAAATTATCAGTGATTCACATGCATATGCTGTGTTTGTGTGTGTGTTTTGTTTATTTTGTGCGTTTTTATATATAATTATAAACAGAACACTGATATTATTGGATAAAACCACTTCAGACACTTGTGACTGTGATACCAGTGGTGTTATTTACAATATTTGTTATGGATTGATGAAGACCATAAATAAAATGTAGAGTAAATATTGTGGAAAATGAGCAGGCATAAGTGTGAACCTTCATGGAAGATGTAACAAAGTGAGTATCTTGGGGAGAGGTGATGCCTTCTGGGTAGAGAACGTTGGAAATGGCTCATTTCATAATTTCTTTGTACTGTAGGAACATTGATGGAGTGTGACTTCACTGTAAAGTTGGTTACCTTACTTTATAAAGTTCCAGTTCTACACTGGAATGCTGGAATGGCAGCCAGATTTCTGGATATAATGACTTCTTTATGTATGAGTGAAATCAAAATGTTACTAATGTGAGACATGCAAAGCCATAAATACTAGACCCAGTATTTACTAAAAAGAAAATCATTATAAATTATCTAAACCCACTTGGAGGGGGATGGTTGTGTTCTCTTTGAAATAACATTTGCTGCTTAATATGAGCTGGGAGACAAAGAAAATCTCAGAAAGTCTCATTATAAGAAAGGAAAATATAATTTAGTACAGGATTTCACAGAAGCATTTGGGTTGTGAAATGCATTAGTATATTGCAAGAAGTGTTAGGGTAAAAGTTTTGAAAATTTGCATAGTAGATTCCATGAACATAAGTTCTTTCTATCAACACACCGGCTGTATCCCACCGAGGTGGGGTGGCCCAAAAGGAAAAACGAAAGTTTCTCCTTTTGCATTTAGTAATATATACAGGAGAAGGGGTTACTAACCCCTTGCTCCTGGCATTTTAGTCGCCTCTTTCAACATGCATGGCTTGCGAAGGAAGAATTCTGTTCCGCTTCCCCATGGAGGTAAGAGGAAATAAATAAGAAAAAGAACTAGTAAGAAAATAGAAGAAAACCCAGAGGGGTGTGTATATATATGCTTGTACATGTATGTGTAGTGTGACCTAAGTGTAAGTAGAAGTAGCAAGACGTACCTGAAACCTTGCATGTTTATGAGACAGAAAAATGGACACCAGCAATACTACCATCATGTAAAACAATTACAGGCTTTCGTTTTACACTCACTTGGCAGGACGATAGTACCTCCCTGGGCGGTTGCTGTCTACCAACCTGGAAATATAAACACATATGCAGTATAATGTGATCCTTTATTGACTACGTTTCGCCCACACAGTGGGCTTTTTCAAGTCACAAACAGAACTACCTGGGGTGGAAGGAACGCGAGTATTTATAGTCAGGTTCAGAATGCTGAGGTCAGGTGGAGAATGCTGCATCTGATGATGTACCAAGTGGGGTTATAGAGTCTTAAATCTTGGGTAGCTTGGAAAGGAGATTGGATAAGTTTGTGAGCAGACCTTCTACAGTGTTCTTATGTGGGATAGCGATGAAGAAGTTTCTTGGCAAGTGGTTCAGCTATGTTATAGAAGCCACTATTCTGGTTGAAGTTGTCGGATATAGAAATAAGTGATGATTCCAGGATTCTTCGGTATTGAGTGTTGTCTTCTGTGGCGATAAGTCTTGAGTTTCTGTAGTTTATCAAGTGGTTGTGTGAATTACGGTGTTGTACGCAGGCATTCCTTGTGTCGTCAGACCTGCTTGCGTCTGACGACACAAGGAATGCCTGCGTACAACACCGTAATTCACACAGCCACTTGATAAACTACAGAAACTCAAGACTTATCGCCACAGAAGACAACACTCAATACCGAAGAATCCTGGATTCATCACTTATTTCTATATCCGACAACTTCAACCAGAATAGTGGGTTCTATAACATAGCTGAACCACTTGCCAAGAAACTTCTTCATCGCTATCCCACATAAGAACACTGTAGAAGGTCTGCTCACAAACTTATCCAATCTCCTTTCCAAGCTACCCAAGATTTTAAGACTCTATAACCCCACTTGGTACATCATCAGATGCAGCATTCTCCACCTGACCTCAGCATTCTGAACCTGACTATAAATACTCACGTTCCTTCCACCCCAGGTAGTTCTGTTTGTGACTTGAAAAAGCCCACTGTGTGGGCGAAACGTAGTCAATAAAGGATCACATTTTACTGCATGTGTGTTTATATTTCCATTGTGTCGGTATTTTATACCATTTATTTCCACCGTCTACCAACCTACTACCTACAATGAACATAAGTTATGTTACAAAAATAACAAAAAATAATCACTCAAATGCATGTTTAATACATTTTTTTCTGTATATTGGATGTGAACCTAATGTAATTTATTTCTTACGTATTACCAGGCAAGAGACTGATCCTCCAGTAGAGCTACAGCTAAAGCATATCCGACCTCGAGCTCATAAGAAGATTAGTTTTACTGATGTTAATCCTGGAGACATGGTGATGGCCAACTACAATATAGAAAATCCTGAAGAAAGGGGACATTGGTTTGACTGTAAAGTATGTGTAATGTATTTTCTGTAATGGGTTCTATGCATTTTAGACCATATAGCACATCTTTTGTAATTTTTTTTTCTTTATTTGTGAATTGTACTATGTAATACACTGGAATTGTTATACTACTAGGTTGGCAGATATCATGCTGGAGGATACAGCATTACTGTCTTCTTATAAGTATAAAACACACCAACATTGGGTTGGTAAGTAGTAGCCATCCAGGAAGGTACTACTGTCCTGTCACAGAAGTATGTAGCAGAAGCCTGTTACTAGTTTGCACTGGCATGATTACTGATCTTTTCTTTCTGTCATGTGAACTTGTAAGATGACAGATAAACTGTAAAATGCTTCTACAGGATTATTAACACACTTTTGTGTGTGTTAATAATCCTCTTACGTACACCAGTTAATAGTCTGGCCGATATATTCATTTCCTTAAAATTCAGTTTCATCATTACCAGTTTTAAGAAGCAGGTGGACCATCTTATCTAGGATGTTAGTCCCAGCTTAGTGTTTATTCTATATTAATTATGTTAATATATTCTTAGCAATCCTTAACCCTTTGACTGTCTTGGTCGTATATATATGTCTTACGAGGTACCGTGTTTGACGTATATATACATATGTACTCGTAAATTCTAGCGGCTTCAAATCAAGCAGGAGAAAGCTGGTAAGCCCACATGTTAGAGAATAGGTCTGTGTAGTCAGTGTGCACCATATAAAAAAAATCCTGGAGCATGCAGTGCATAATGAGAAAAAAAAAACTCCGTCCGTTTTTTTTTTTTTTTTTTTTTTTTTTTTTTTTAATTAAAATGACGACTTTGTGGTCTATTTTCGTATAGTATTTATGGTTCTCTTCTCGTTTTCTTGGTCTCATTTGATAGAATGGAAAACATATTATAGAAATAGAGGTGAGTTTGGTTGGCTTTACCATAAAAAGAACCTGGAAATGGAGCTCATAATAGTGGAAATGTTTGATTTTTGCCGATGTTCAAAAGTAAACAAATGATGTCATTGTCCAATAAATGTCCAACTAGCCATTCTAATATGCAGTCATGAATGGGTTGACATTATTTGTACAATTACTACAATATTGCAGTAGTCTACATAACAGTAAATCTTCTATTTTTTGTTTAAATAAAAGTTCAAAATAAAAAGCAAGAGTAATATCAGAGGGGCCTGGAGACATGACTGATGAACAAAGAAAATGTTATTTTAGAGCCAGGAATGTCTGCATGGTTCATTCTGAACCTTATTTTGAAATTGTCATATTTTTTAATTTTCGTGAAATTGACCAAATTGCAAATTTCTGACCAAGTTATTGGGTAGTTGAAATCGGTAAATGGGCAGTTTTTTGTACAGTACTCAATCGATAGAAAAAAATGGAGTTCTAAAGAAATAGTTATGAGTTTGGTCGACTGGAAAAATGGAATTAGCCGAAAACAGGGCTCAAAGTGGGGGAAATCGCCGATTTGTAAATATCACCGATGTCGCTAACTTTGCGAGAGCATAATTCCACCAGTTTTCCATCAAATTTCGATTTTTTTTGTGTCATTACAATCGGGAAAAGATTCTCTATCATTTCCTAAGTTTTTTTTTTTTTTTTTTTTTTAATTTTGCGGCACCAGGAGTCACCTGAGGATTGGGGGTTGCGACAGTCAAGGGGTTAATATGTAAGGTTTGGCAATAAGAATCATTCTCTGTTAATGCGAATGGAATGCTGATTACCCCCAGTGACCCTCAGGCCACTTGTAAGCTTTCACTCATGAGTAAATATCTTAAATAGGGAGTGCTTTTTATTTTATTTATATATTAAAGAACACTGTCTGCCCTGTCCATCCTTGACTTGAACTTAAATGCACTGTATAATTCTTACAGGTTTAGTGCTTCTCCCAGGAATGCAATCATAATGTTACTCCTTGGATAATTCTGAGTATGTAAGATAGTGTTATATAGTCTCTGATACAAGTACTGTATTTGCTAAACACAGTTTAATCATGTTTATTAAACTAAATCTAATCTTTTTAATTATATTTAATATACAGCGGTTCTCATTATTCTTCTGTGCTCAGTGGTGAGAGCCAAAATAAACATATAGTGGCAGTCCGGGTCTGGAGTGGCTTAGTGATGGTCTTATGACTAATATTTCCTTTCCAGATTAGAAGGTCTGATCTAAGTCCTTGTTTATTTTGTCCCACTCACTTCTGAGCTCTGTACATCATGCTTGTTTGCACTTTAGTGAAGTTATGATCAGAAAGTATTGTTTTTGAGATTTTTATGTCTTGATTAGTTCCTCATTTGTGAGAATGAAGTATAATACAGTGGACCCCCGCATAACGATCACCTCCGGATGCGACCAATTATGTAAGTGTATTTATGTAAGTGCGTTTGTACGTGTATGTTTGGGGGTCTGAAATGGACTAATCTACTTCACAATATTCCTTATGGGAACAAATTCGGTCAGTACTGGCACCTGAACATACTTCTGGAGTGAAAAAAATATCGTTAACCGGGGGTCCACTGTACTTTTATTTTTCTAGTAGGCTCTTACCTGTTGGCTCAATGCTCTTAGGATCCTTCTATGTGCCTGTTGGTCTAGAGCAGGGGTGGGCAAACTTTTCAGTGCAGGGGCCACATTCAGAAAGTTGCGGGTAATGTGTCAATGTTCCACAATATTATTTAGCATTGCATGGTAACTTTTTTTTTTTTTTTCTCAAATTTACTAACATTTTGTCCCCAAATGACATGAGTATGTGACTTGATCTTGGCAGGCCTCATGCTGCCTGCGGGCCCACTGCTGGTCTAGAGTGCTTCCTGTTATTTTTTCTGATTACAAAATAAACTCCATGTAAGAATATTTTTAAACATTTATAATCTAATATCTTCTTTGTTAAAGTTGTTAAGTGCAAATTAAATCTTTTAACACCAGCCATCTCCCACCGAGGTTAATTTTAAATTCTTCTTTCAACAAACCAAATGCATCCCACTGAAGCAGGGTGGCCCAAAAAAAAAGAAAAACAAAAGTTTCTTTTTTCAGGTCAGAAGAATCATCAACACCAGAACACAAAAAGAATTAGTTGCTACAGTCTATATTGGATGTGATTCTACTCCTCTGGAAAACTGCCACATACGTTTTGTTAATGAGCTGTTTGCAGTGGAACAAAACATAAAGTTGCACGAACGAAATGAGGATATTGAGAAAGTTTTAGCTGAAGGATCACCTGCTAAAAGTGAGCTATTCTCCTTACATTGTGATTTTTTAGTATTCCTGCTAAGGGTAATTTTCTTTTTTTTGTATTTTAACTGTCTATTATCACAGTACTATCTTGCTTTGATTTTATTTAAAAAATATGCTCATGATTTACTGAAAAATTTAAGACACATATAATAGCATTTTGTAATTTTTTAAATGCTCTTTTTCCAGTGACTCTAAACTCATTACTGTTTTTTCCAGCATAAAAGGCGCATCCCGCTCCCCACAAAAAAAAAAAAAAAAGTCTTTGAAATCACCCTGCACCTTACATGCTCAAAATCAGGGTCAAGGGTAGGCGTAGGGTTATGCTTAAGCAGTTGTTTACTAACATTAGGTTGCAACTGCTTTCAGTGAAACACTGTGCCAGCAAGCAGCCAGCATTCAATGTTAACTAGCATCTAATCATAAGGGCTTTATGTTAACGTACATAATAAGTAAACCAGCTGTAACAGTTGTAAGTAATTGTAAAGTATCAGGGTCATTAGCCCATGTATGCCAGATCACTCATAGGAGTAAGACAGATTTTTTTTTTTTATTAACACGTTGGCCTTCTCCCACCAAGGCAGGGTGGCACGAAAAAGAAAAACTTTCATCATTCACTCCAGTGTCTTGCCAGAGGCACACTTACACTACAGTTATAAAACTGCACCATTAACGCCCCTCCTTCATGGTGCAGACACTGTACTTCCCAATCGAATATTTGTTTCATCAAGAGGGGTGTGAAGTAACACACAACACAGTATTCATATCTGTAAAGATGAATATGATTACTGATTTACTGTTGATACTTCTGTTGGTTGAACATTTATTCAAGTTTTCACTTTTCAGATTACCTATAACCTATTATAATAGTCAAAGAGAAGGCATGCTTACACATTTGGTTATACACATTAGGTTTACCTGGAGAGTTTACCTGGAGAGAGTTCCGGGGGTCAACGCCCCCGCAGCCCGGTCTGTGACCAGGCCTCCTTGGGTCAGTGTCCCAGGATGCGACCCACACCAGTCGACTAACACCCAGGTACCCATTTTACTGATGGGGAACATAGACAACAGGTGGAAAGAAACACGTCCAATGTTTCTACTCTGGCTGGGAATCAAACCCAGGCCCTCACCGTGTGAAGCGAGAGCGTTAACCACCAGGCCACCAGAGCCTGGGCGAGTACTACAAGTGATCAAATTTGCAAAGGAACATGGGAACCCAGCCTTAGCAAGGCATTATGGGCCACCCCAACAAAGAAAATGGTAAATGACTGGCAAAAACAAGAAGAAAATCGAAACATGATTTTTGCAGGCCAAAAGCTAAATGGGTGGAACTTGAAAATGAGATGAAGACTTGGGTTTAAGATCAGAGGAGACAAGGTTTTATAGTGACAACTAAAAAAAATATTTTGAAGCTAAAGTGAGAGCAGCTGTAAGAGGGCATGATAGATTGTTCTGGTGCTACGAGCTGGTGCTATAGATTCATGAAAAGGAATGGATTAGCCATGTGAACAAAAACAAAATAAGATGAATAAAAAATGGGTTTAACTTCCTCATTTCTAAGATGAATAAAAATGGCTTTAATTTCTTCACCTTTAAGATGAATAAAAATATTTTATTTTCCATTTTCTCTTGGTTTAGAAATTTATTAAACATTCCCTAAGTTATGGTATGTCTCTTCTAAAATGTTCTAATTAAAAATATGGTATTGAATGTTTTGACTTTAAAACCACATCTCTACACAATCTTGTTTTGTTAGTGTTTACGGTATTATAAATGGACATGCAGTTCATTGTAGTAATTAAGTTGTAATACTCATAAAGTGTAAGCACAAGTAAAGTGTTTTAATAATTTATATTTAACACATTCACAGTGTACCTTATTTATATGTATTTTCTGTACAGAGTATTACAGGCTATATATTCATGAGACAATTTGAGTAAAAATGGCAGGGTGTTACTTTAGTGGGGTTTAATATAGATTTGAATAGATGAGAAGCTTTAAAATGACCCAGTAGTGGGGAGGGCTATCAGGGGAAAAAGTTTCTCTCTCTCTCTCTCTCTTCCCCAATATGTCTGCTAAAATTGAGGTGTATTTCATATGCCAGAAAATACAGTATTTTCCTAATTTCTTATTCTTTTGCCCATCTTTCCAAGTACGTACTGGTGCTGTACTTTCCACCTCTGTAAGTTAGTCCAGCTAAACTGGTTTCTCTGAATACTTTTATAAACATTAACATTGCTCTAACATTATTATAATCAAATATATATATGGTTGAATTACTATTCTGTATGAGAAATGTTTTATTATGTATGTGTGTGTGTCATACTTTTAAAGTTGAAGTAAGGAGGGCAGCTGGATGCAGCAGGGATGTCATGTTTGGGAGCAGTGTGTGGTGTGAATTCAGAGTTTATTTAGGCACAGGTACACATAAGTGCAATTATCATACATAGTGAAATTACTTAGGATAACCCATAAAAAAAAAAGGGTCAGTGACTTTTCCATTGCAGTAGCTGCGTTGGTCTTGCCATTTAGAAAGGATGGATCAGAATGACAGAGGGTACTAGTGTGTAAATCTGGGATAGAGGGAAGGAGGGGTTGGGGTTATTCCATGAAGGTTGGAGGGAAGAAAGGAAAGGTTTTAAGCAACCACCAGGTGTGCTAGATCAGAGTGAGTGGAGATGGGGCTTTAGGATGCATTGTTGGAACATGAGCAAGGTAACATTTATGAAGGACTTCAGGGAGACCAGTTAGCCAGGTTTGAGTCTTGGAGATGGGAATGTTGCAGTATAAAGGGTAGTTTGAATTGTTATGTCCACATCTTTCTGACAAAACTGCTGTTGAATGAGTGACAGTGACTGTTGTTGCCTTTTCTTGGGCCACCTACCTTTGTGGGAGACTGCTAGCGTGTTAAAAAAATTTTTTTATAGTGCTCATTCACCATTCTCATTATATGAGAGTGCTGTACAGATTTTAATATTTAGTAGAAAATATGTACATTAGATTAAAATTTCAAATTCTTTATTAACATAAATGTTGAAACAGGAGAAATTGCTCCAAGTTGTTCAACTTGCAAGGACAACCCAAAACGCAAGTGTAAGGATTGTGGGTGCAACGAATGTGGAGGAAAGGAGAATCCTGAGAAGCAGCTCATGTGTGATGAATGTGACATGCCATTTCACTTGTATTGCCTCAAGCCACCACTGGAAAGCATACCTGATGTTGATGAATGGTGAGTAAACACACAAGACATTTTAACTATTCTTTAGTAGTTGATTATAACCATAATGCAGTAGTACATAGTGTAGTAACTTTTTATTTCCTAATTCTTATGATGTTTAAATACAACTCTGATCCTAAAATTAAACTAGTGTAAGGCAGATACATCAGATAATGTTTAAGTAATGAGTATGAACATCTTAGAAACTGTTTTGTTTTAGTGAGGTTTTACCCTATGAGTAATCCTCTTACAAGCAAGGGGAATAATTAGGTAGGACTGTCTCTTAAGAAATGAAAAATCCCAAGATACTTCCTACTTTACATGAGAATTAGTTTTTTAAATGGACAAAGGAGCTTATTACCCTTGTCTGCAAGTTTCTGCCTTAAGGAAATATTTCTGTAGCCTTGAACTTTAAACAGCAGTTACAGTGGTTGTACAGTAAATATCAACAAATTCCCAGTAGAATGTTTTTATTCCAAACTTAAGCATTTTGACCAAAATGTTAATGAGCTAACAGCTGCAGGATCTGTCCTGACAGAGGAAAACATTGCTTTTACTGAACTAATTTAAACATCCCAACTTGAAAACAATGAGTTACAAAGTAAAAGCAGCTAAGATTCCATCAAGTTCATAGAATTCAAACACCAATGAAACCGTGAATAAAACTTAGCTCGATCATAGGAAGAATTTGACATCAGCAAAGTTATAACAGTCTGTCTTAATTTAATTACCTTACAGCATTGGCACAGCAAATGGATTTCTGGTGGTCAAAAACAGATAAGGTAAAATCTTTTAAGCATCTCTAAAGATATGCTGCACTCAATTTTTCTAATTGTTCTTACTATCTTTTGAATTGTTAATATTTACTACATGATTCCTCTTACTCTGGGCATTTCAGCGATATTTTGGTTGCACTAAGAGAAGCAGCAGCAGTATTGAGGTAGAGAGAAAGAGATGTGAGGTTCAATATGCCAAATATTAAACCAAGCTGAACTGAACCAGTAAGCAGGCAGGAATGACCAATGCTCAGTCTCTGCTGCTGGGGCTGCTGCTCCTGCAGATAATCTGGTACCTTCAAGTTTAAATATTAAATTCATTTGCTCATTCCTGGCTGATTTTGGGGGTCTTTGTATTTTGGTTACCCCTGCCTTGGTAAAAAAAAAAAATAGTGCCTACATGTGATTGGTTATGTATATTTTTAAAGGGTACATAAATAGGAGAGATACCAGGGAAATTACATGGAGATTAAGTAGTGGACTTTGGCATTTCTTTTAGTGTTTGAGCCCTTTGATATGCACAGAGTTTCTAAGTAAATTTCCATTAGTCAGTCATCAGTGTCAGCTATCAGTGATACATTAAATACAGTCATGCCCTGCATACCGACGTTTTGGTCAGTGACAGACCACATATATGGCACTGATGTAAACAAACCTACTCTGCTTCCAGTTGTATGCAGGTACAGTGGAACTTTGGTTTTAGTGATTAATCCTTTCGAAAATGTCTGACGAAAACAGAATCGTACAAAAACTGAAGTAATATTTCCCATAAGAAATAATGTACATAAATCCAATTAATCTGTTCCAGACACCCAAAAATATTAACACATACTTTTTATAGAGAATAACTATAGTTTTACATACAGAAAACAATGAGAAATAAATATGAATGACTAATGAAATGGATAAATGAACATTTAACATCACTTTTACTTTTATTGAAGACTCTTATTGGAATATGGAAGATGGCGAGGAGGGGAGAGGGAGGAGGGGAGAGGGAGGAGGAGAGATTGTTTGGAAGGGAAATCCCTGTCCATAAGGAATTCAGGTATCAAGGCCCTATCCGGGGTTACTTCCCTTCTTTGTCTGTTTCTGGCGTCTCTTTAAGATTTGCCTAAAATGGGACAAGGCATTGTCATTGTACATGTTGCAGACGCAGCTTGCAACAGGTTTGTTAGGGTGATATTTCTCCACAGATTTTGTAACTCTTTCCAAATTTACATGCATGTCCTTAATCCCCCCTTTTCACAAATCAGTTTCCCTTTAAAATAACAAAAAGGCACAATACCAACGGGAACAATACACAAATAACCCGCACATAAAAGAGAGAACTTACGACGACTTTTTCGGTCCGACTTGACCATTGACAAAGTCACACTAAAGGGGTGGAGCAGGACGCAAATTTATGGGCAGGAAGGGGTGGAAGAGTATTATAGTAACAAAATTTAAAAAAACCGACAGGAGAAATTAAGACACTGCAAAACACCCGGGCCCCCCAAACGAACTTTCGCCATCCAGCCACCACGGGATGGCGAAACGTCCACAACAAAAAAACCAGACGCCGAAACAGTGTCTTATTTCAACAGAGTTGTAGAAAAGAAAAGAGGTTAAGTGGTAGGGGAAAAGGGGGAAAAAGGAAGACGAGCCAGTCAAATAAAAAAGGAAGGGGACACGCAAAGGAGCTAGATCCCCCAAAGGGGGGAGAGCAACGCACAGAGGCAAAAAGGGAATGGGTGAAAAAAAATAAATAAGAAGGAAAGAAACACGAACAGGGGAAGAAAGAAAACCCCAGGGGGAAAAAAGGAAGGGGAAAAGGGGGAAAGAGGAAGAAGAAAATAAAATAAAAAGGAGGATTCAGGTTAAGTCAGGGGTGTTTGAAGTTTGAGCTTTTTACAATGTTGGGGAGGAAGGCACTACAGAGACAACCAGGGCAAGGTTCATAAAAGGGAAAGTTGTGATTAGAGAGGTTTCAACAAACGGCGACTGTTCATTTGGGAAGTAGGAAAAACTTTTAGCAGAAACCATCAATGATGACTATGATCTCTGACTTGACAGAAAAGGCTTGTTATGTCGGAAAGCCTAACACTATTTTTGTGCCCCTAAGTCCTGTCAGAAAGAGATCGACCAGTTTCTCCGAAGTATTGAAGAGGACAGGGGGACAAAAATAGAGTAACACCGGGAACACTTAGAGGGGGGAGAGGTATGAACGAGTTTAGTGCAAAGGGTTTAGTCTGGGGGAAAGGGGTAACTAATGTCTAAGGGGGGAGAAATGTTGAATAAAAAGCCCCGGAAATGTGGGAAGGCAAGAATAGAAGATTTCCCCCATGAGTAAGATTTGGGAAAAGAAATTTTTTTAGCACGTAGGGGGCAGAGTCATGAAATGGGAAGGGTGCCAAGACGGGAGAACGAATTAGAAAGGGGAAAAATTTTTGCTGGAAGGAACTGAGGATACGAGCGGAGGACGAGAAGGGGAGATAAGAACACTTTTCTTGCAGGGAACATAAAGGGAAAAAAGTATGAATGTACATCCCACGTGCATAGGTTTACGAAAAGGGAAAAGGGGAAAAACCTTTTTCTGAGCGTGGACAAGGACATAAAGGAAAAGGAAGAAAGGGAATTAGATTCCCTTTTCAGCTTTAAACTTAAGGGAAAGGGGGCAAATTATTAAGAGCTCAAGAAATTTGGAAAGACGGAGTCATAGGCCACAGAGCAAAGATGCATCCACATAGCGAGCCCAGAGGAAGGTTGCACATCGGGGGTAGGAAGAAAACTCTCAATATTCCATGTAAAGTTTTGAAAGGGACGGGAGAAGGGGAAGCCCATAGTAAACACCAAAGGTTTGAAAATAATATTTCCCTTAAGGGAAAAGGAGTTAGAGTCCAAACAAGGCAAAAGACAAGAATGCATCATGGGATAGGGAATGAAAAAACCCCTACGGGCCTTCTCCAAAGGGAAATCAAACATCACAAGAGGGACTAAAACGCAAACTAAACATCTTACAGGGGGGGAGAGACGAACCCGTTAAATGAAGTCTTAGAGTACAGGGGCAGGAAAAAAGTACCAAAAAGGGATGGGGGTTTTGGCCACCCACGAAGCAAGAGAATAAAAACAGAACCTCGAGGAAAAGATGGGACAAGGGGAAATATCGGGTTTTTATGAGTTTTGGGAAGGCCAAAAATGGGAAGAGGGGGACGAACACAAACCCGTTGAAAAAGGGTCAAAGTCAGGGGGACAGGGGTCGGAAGATCCTTAGCTTTTTTTGTTGAAATTTCCTTAAAGCATCAAGAGGGTTGGAAACGAGGGAGTTAGGTGCGTGATAGAGAGCAAGACACACGAGCGGGGGTAATCCTCGCGAAAAGGGATAACTACCGAATTACCTTTGCAAAGATAGTATGACAATGTTAGGTTGGATTAAGGAAAAAGGGCAAGGGGGAACCGGGGGAAGGGGGTGATTCTTGAAAACAACAACAAGAGGGGGAAAGGGAGAGCACCACGAAAAGTGGACAAGTCGGAAGATAGAAAAAGTTTGACGAAAGGAATCAAAAGAGCAACAGGGAAATACCGCGCGGGGAGTGGGCAAGGGGCAAAGGAAGACCAAACCAAAATTCAAGCCATATTGAGAGAGGAGACAGAAACAGATTAGTAACACAGTCATGAGGGAAATTTTAGACCAAGGGCTAGCTGAATGAACGTTGAAGTTTATTTTATTCCAATGCCCTTTCTTCTTTTAAACCCAAACAAACATTGTCATACTATCTTCTGACAAAAAATTCGGTAGTTATCCTTGATCGCGAGGATTACCCCGTAAAGCTGATGTTTTGCTCCTGACTCACGCACCTACACCCCTCTCTTTTCCCCAACCCCTTGTCGCATCAAGAAACTTTCAACAAAAAAAAAAAAGGGACCCTCCACCCTGTCCTCCTGACTTTGCCCTTGTTCAACGTTTTGTTCATCTTCCCTCTCTTCCCTGTTTCTAGGCCTTCCCAAAACTCTAAACCTGATATCCTCTTTTCCTATCATACCTCTAGAGGTTTTGTTTCTTTTTCTCTTGCTTCTTGGCTGGGCCAAAACCCCCGCTCCCTTCCTTGGGATTTTTTTCCGCCCACCCCCGTCACCCTCAAAACTTCATTTGAACGGGCGCTCTCCCCCCAACCTGTAAAAGCTTAGCTTGACGTTATCCCTCTTTTCCAAAGTCCCTCTTGATGATGTCCTTGATTCCTTTAAAAAGGGCCCTGTAGGTTTCTTCATCCAATATCCCCCCGATGCTTTCTTGATCTGATCCGCCTCTTTTGGACTCTAAATCCTTTTCCTTCCAAGGGAAATATTTTTCTCAAACCCTTTGTCGCTATGGCTTTCCCCTTTCTCCCGTCCTTGCTAATCTTTACATGGAATACTTTGAACGTTCTTTTTCCCACCCTCGATGGCAACCTTCACTCTGGCTCCGCTTGTGGGGCATCTTTGCTCGGGCCCATGACCCCGTCTCTTCCCAACCCTTTTCTTGAAGCCTTAATAATTTTTTGCCCTTTCCCTTAAGTTTAAAAGCAATGGGAATCTAATTCCTTACTTCCTTTCCGATGCCATGCCACCGCTCAGATACAGGTTTTTCCTTTTTTCCCTTTACCGTAAACCAGCACAGTGGCAGTACATTCACTACTTTTTTCCCATCTGCTTCCCCTGTCAAGAAAAGGTTTTTTTCCCCTCTTTCTCCGTGCCCTCCCCTCTTGATCCCATTCCTTCAGCGAAAATTTCCACTCTTCATAATTCGTTCTCCCTCTTGCTACCTTCCCATTTTATAGACTCTGCCCCCTCACGTGCTAAAAGAATTTCTTCTCTCCCAAACCTCTACTCATGGAACTCTTTATCCTCTCCTTCCCACATTTTTTCTTTCTAATCTCAACAATTCTCTCCGTCCCTTAGACATTAACTTACCTTCCGCCAACTAACACTCTTCCACTAATCTCGTCATACCTCTCCTCCCTCACAATGTTCCTGGTGTCTACTCTATTTTTTGCTCCTCCTGTCCCTTCATACTTCGGGGAAAAAGGTCGATCTCTTTCTGACAGACTTAGGGGCACAAAATAGGTTTGGCTTTTCCGACCTAACAAAGCTCTTTTCTGTCACTCGAATCATAGCCAAAAAAATTATTGACTGGCTTCTGCTAAAACTGTCTTTTCCCCACTTCCAACTCGAACAGTCCCGTCTGTTGAATCCTCTCTAATCACAACTTTCCTTGTATGAACCTTAGCCCGGCTTCGTCCGTAGATGCTTCCTCTCCCACTACATTGTAAAAGCCCCAAAATTTAGAAACCCGACTTTAACCCAAACCTCACTTTTTTATTTTATTTTTCTTCTTCCCCCTTTCCCCTTTCCCTCTCCTTTTCTCCTCTGGGTTGTCTTTCTCTCTCCTTCTCGTGTTTCTGTTCCCTTTTTCATTTTTTTTATTTACCACTTCCCCCCTTTTACACCTCGTGCGCTTGCTCTCCCCCCTGTGGGGATCACCTTGGGAGTCCCCCTTCCTTTGTATTTGACTGGCTCTCTTTCCCTTTTTTTCCCACTTCTTCCCACCACTACTACTACCTCTTCTTCTTCTACACAAAACTGTTAAATTAAGACACATGTCGGCGTCGGGTTTTCTTTGTTGTGGACGTTTCGCCATCCCCGTGCTGGCTGGATGGGGAAACTCTACAATGGGGATTCCCGGGGTTTTGCATGTGTCTTAATTTCATCCTGTTGGTATTAAACAATTCTTGACTACTCTATACACAAATACTTCCACCTCTTCCTCCATTTAGCCGTCCTGCTCCACCCCGTTATGTGACTTTTTCAAAGGCCAAGTCACCCAAAAGCGTCATAAGCTTCTCTCTTTTTTTGTGCGGGTTAATTTTTGTATCAGCTTCCCTTTATTTCTTTTTTTCGCCAGGGTGGGAAAGATCGTTGATGAGGACCCCCCTACATCCGGGGGAGACCAGCCACGGGACGCCACTTTGACTTTGCTACGAAAATTTTTTCTTGAATTCTATCTATTTTTTGCCTTCTTTATCAAAGGCTGGGACTCGGGGAAATTTTTTTTTTGGCCCCAAAGGTGGCTTATTTTGCATCACACTCGATAAACAAGCCAAAAAAAAATGGGTTAAAAACAAAATGTTTTGGGGGGGGGTGAACACGGGGGGTGAGCTCACTCAATGAGAAAAAAAAAGGGAGACTGGCCAAAAAGCAGGGGATTCTTTTTTTGGGGGGGCACTCGATTCGGAAATGATGGCCAAGTCACACGGCGGGGGACGAATTGGGGTGGCTATTTTTAAATGGTGCCTGATATTTTTTTTTTTCCCCGAGTTTGCTTAAATTTTAAGCCTTGCTGATCACCTCAAAATTTTAACACTGTGTACAATTAACTATGAAGTTCATGCACTTTTGAGGCATTTAGGTACCCTGCACTTAATATGTGGTAGACAAATTTCCGATTGATTTGTGTGCTAAATTTGGAAACAGCTGTAAAGTGTTTCTTCTCTTTTGGGGGGCCTTACCTCGGGTTAAACAAAAAAAAAAAAGGGTTTAGAAAGCCCATCTGATTATCTTCACACTTTAACACTTGTGTATCCTACCTAGAAAAAGGATGGGATTGTAGGTGCTAATTTACCATTTTTATATTTAAAATGGTATTTTTTCTGTGAAATAATTTGCATATGTCTATTTTGAATAGCTTCTATCTCTAATGGCTGATGCATGTTTTGGACAGAATGGTACCCATGGTACCCAACAAGTTTAGGCTTTTGAGTATACAAATTTGCCAGTTTTTTAACATTGTTAATGAATTCAGAATTATTTGATTACTAGCAGTAGCTGGAGAGAGCCTCTTCTGATTTGCTTCAGTGCTACACTCTACTTGTCCTTTAGCTTGCAGTAAGGTAGAGGGGACTTAGCTTATAGGATATGGGGATTTTTTTTTTTTTTTTTTTTTTTTTTTTTTTTTTTTTTTTTTTTTTTTTTTTTATTATCACACCGCCGATTCCCACCAAGGCAGGGTGGCCCGAAAAAGAAAAACTTTCACCATCATTCACTCCATCACTGTCTTGCCAGAAGGGTGCTTTACACTACAGTTTTTAAACTGCAACATTAACACCCCTCCTTCAGAGTGCAGGCACTGTACTTCCCATCTCCAGGACTCAAGTCCGGCCTGCCGTTTCCCTGAATCCCTTCATAAATGTTATTTTGCTCACACTCCAACAGCACGTCAAGTATTAAAAACCATTTGTCTCCATTCACTCCTATCAAACACGCTCAAGCATGCCTGCTGGAAGTCCAAGCCCCTCGCACACAAAACCTCCTTACCCCCTCCCTCCAACCCTTCCTAGGCCGACCCCTACCCCGCCTTCCTTCCACTACAGACTGATACACTCTTGAAGTCATTCTGTTTCGCTCCATTCCTCTACATGTCCGAACCACCTCAACAACCCTTCCTCAGCCCTCTGGACAACAGTTTTGGTAATCCCGCACCTCCTCCTAACTTCCAAACTACGAATTCTCTGCATTATATTCACACCACACATTGCCCTCAGACATGACATCTCCACTGCCTCCAGCCTTCTCCTCGCTGCAACATTCATCACCCACGCTTCACACCCATATAAGAGCGTTGGTAAAACTATACTCTCATACATTCCCCTCTTTGCCTCCAAGGACAAAGTTCTTTGTCTCCACAGACTCCTAAGTGCACCACTCACTCTTTTTCCCTCATCAATTCTATGATTCACCTCATCTTTCATAGACCCATCCGCTGACACGTCCACTCCCAAATATCTGGGGATACCTTTCTCTAATCATCAAGTGACCAGAATGCATCTAGTTTCTTGAGTGATATCCATGAGTTCTGTTGCACTTCTGAAGGGTTGGTCTTAAGTACAATATAAGCTGACATTACAGTTCAGGGCCATGAAGATGTCAGTTGAACAGTGAAATATGTGGATAGCTTGTATTTTTAATTTATTTCGTTATTTGGTTCTGGGGGCTGAATTTTAGCATGTTATAATTTGTTTATGTATGATACAGTAGGTTGCCATTTTTAATCATGCACAAATACCACATGAGAGATATGCATAAACGAATGTGTAGTACTGGGCGAACACTGTAGAGTAGGATATAACAAAAATGAGTGATATACTGTGATTATACATTTGGCATTATATTAATATTAATGTGATTTAATTTATTGTTATTGTAAACTGTGTATTATTCCTAGGTACTGTCCTTTGTGTAAAAATGATGATAGTGAAATAGTCAAAGCTGGTGAGAAACTGAAAGAGAGCAAGAAGAAAGCAAAGATGGCTTCCTCAAAAAGCAATACTTCACGAGACTGGGGTAAAGGGTTTGCCTGTGCTGGGAGACAGAAAGTGTGCACCATTGTGCCACAAAATCATTTTGGACCTGTACCTGGTGTTGAAGTGGGCACTTTATGGAAATTCAGGTTACAGGTATTTAACTTTAGTTGTTGTTGCTTTTTAACATTACTCTTGATTGTACATTCTGTAGATAGATCATTATGTATTCACCCCCTTGGGAAGAAGATGCACAAGTTTTATAACCACTCTGGATGGTCACATGATTTTTTATGTTTTTTTTTTTTTTTTTTTTTTTTTTTTTTTCACATTCCTTTTTACTATTCTGTTTTAGTACCAACTCAAACAGAACCCAGATAACTGATGATCTATAGCTTTTTATAAACCATAATATATTTCATAATACTCTGTACTATACTATTGCATTTACAAAAAATATGTGCCCATGCTTGCTATTATGCTAACACATTGAAATAAGAACATAAGAAAGAAGGAACACTGCAGCAGGCCTACTGGCCCATGTGAGGCACGTCCAAGTCTCCTATTGGCAAAAGCAAATGCCTTAACCTAGTCAGGTCAGGTCACATTCACTCAAGGAAGAAGCACGGCATCTGAACTAGTAGCACAAGCTAGTCAGGTCCAGTTCACACCCACCCACACCCACTCGTGTATTTATGTAACCTATTTTTAAAACCACAACGTTTCAGCTTCTATAACTATACTCGGGAGTGTGTTCCGCTCATCCACAACTCTATTACCAAACTAGTGCTTTCCTAAATCCTTCCTGAATCTGATTTTGTTCAACTTAATGCCATTGCTGTGAGTCCTGTCTAGGCTAGATATTTTTAGCACACTATTTACATCACCTTTATTTATTCCTGTTTTCCGTTTATACACCTCAATCATATCCCCCCCTCCCTAATTCTACGCCTTTCTAGAGAGTGCAGATTCACGGCCCTCAGTCTGTCCTCATAGGGAAGATTTCTGTTACATGGGATCAACTTTGTCATCCTCCTTCGTATGCTTTCCAGTGCATTTATATCTATTCTGTAATACGGTGACCAGAACTGTGCAGCATAATCTAAAAGAGGACAAACCAAAGATTATATATATAGAGTTGAAGAACAACCTGAGGACTTCTATTATTTATACTTCTTGATATGAAGCCAAGTTTTCTGTTAGCTTTATTGCAAACACTTATGCACTCTTGTATTGGTTTTAGATTACTGCTAACCAGAATTCCTAAATCCTTTTTTGCAATCAGTAATATTAAGATCTACATTATTTAGTTTATATGTGGCATGGTTATTTTCCTGTCGGACATTCAGAACTTTGCATTTGTCTATATAAACTGCATCTGCCACTTCTCTGACTACTGCATCAGTCTATTCAAATCATCCTAGAGTGCTCTAATGTCCACATTAGAATGAATTGGACAGCCTAATTTGGTGTCATCAGCAAATTTGCTTATGTCTCTATTTATTCCCTCATCTATGTCATGTATGTAAATTGTGAGCAACAAGGAGCGCAACACTGACCCCTGTGGAAACACCGCTTGTGACGTGCCCCCATTGTGATTTCTTCCCATTTATGCAAACTCTCTGCTACCTATTTGTCAACCGTGCCTCTAATATGGTCGTCACCAAATGAGTTTATGGGGCTGAACTGCAGGTACTGCAGCTGCTGCTGCTTGTTATGAAAGATATTGCTCATGGAATTCTACAATGGATAAACCTATATTCAGTACCTTGAAGGAGTGGTGGGGGGATGTTTCAGTCTGAGGGTAAACTACACCCCCCCCCCTCCCCTTTAAATATAATAGAGCCTCTCCTCACTTAGCGATGTACTCATTCATCAACGAATTGGACTTAGGACAGGCTCTCTGACCAGTATGCATACCTAAATAATGTATATTAGAGCTGATTTCCTCTATTCTGTTTAATACAACACAGCTTCTCACTTAATGGCGGTGTTCCATTCCTAAGACCACGTCGGTAAGCGAATTCGTCACTAAGTGAGGAGCATACTGTAATGGTAGTGAGTTTGTGTCAACTATCTTTGATACTGTTTTAATGTCACCTTTGCACCGTTTATAACATTTCTGGTATATTATTAAATGTTTATGCAGTAGTGTACTGTATATTGTAATAAAAAGAATAGAGGAAATCAGCTCTAATATACATTTTTTTTAACTCCATACTGTCAAGAGCCCCGAAAACCCCTGAGGCATCGTAAATGAGTACTTCTAAGTGAGGAGAGGCGTAACAGTAAAACACGTAAAACTTTTAAAAATATATAAAAATATTATAAATGGTGCGGGGTAACATTAAAACAATATCAAAAGGGTTGACACAAACCCTCTACCATTTAATAGATGCCCTCATTTTGCAAAAATTTGTTTACCGGCGTGTTCTTGGGAAGGGAATCTGTCTTTAACGGGGAATTTGTAAAAATAAAATTTAACGCCACTCCAAGGGGAATGGAACAGTTTTTTTCCCCCATACCCTTGGTGTCGTTAGAGGTGACAAAATGCCAGAGCGAGGGGACATAACCCCTTCTTTTTTACAAATTTTAAAATTTAGAAATTTTAATTTTTTTTTTTTGGGGGCCACCCTGCCTCTGAATTTGGGGCTGGTTTTTTTTGAAATATATTTCTACAAATGTATGCAGTTGTTGAATGCATGGGGAGATAACTTTTTTGTGTAAAGAAGCGGGTCTGTTGGATCCTACTAACAGTGGACCCCCGCAAACGATTTCATCCATAGCGATTATTTCGCATACCGCTTACTTTTAAAAATCGCAAAAATTTTTTCCGCGCATACCAAAAAAACCCCCACCGATTTTCGTCCGAGACGCTCCAATGTCCCCTCAGCCAGCCCACATTGCCGCCCGTGCCATTGTTTTTCCCCGCCAGCCTCCCGTAACATCCAACAACATTCGGAATACAGTGGACCCCCTTAAAAGATTTTTTTAAAACCGTGCAAGAGGGGCCCTCGTTTTTTGCGAAATAATCGTTATGCAAGAATTTTCCCCAAAGAAATAAAGGGAAACAAAATTAATCCGTGCAAACCCCAAAAAGATGAAAAAAAATTTTTTTTTCCCCATGAAATTTAATTTAATACACACAAACTGAAAAAGGGATGCACAATTAAATGACACTTACTTTTATTGAAGATCTGGTGATGATTGATGGGATGGGAGGAGGGGAGAGCATTAATCTTCTTACTGTTTAGAAGGGGAATCCCCTTCCATTACGACTTGAGGTAGCAAAGTCCTTTTCCTGGGGTTACTTCCCTTCTTCTTTTAATGCCACTAGGACCAGCTTGAGAGTCACTGGACCTCTGTCGCACAACAAATCTGTCCATAGAGCTCTGTACCTCCCGTTCCTTTACGATTTGTCTAAAATGGGCCACAACATTGTCATTGAAATAGTCACCAGCAACGGCTTGCAACAGCTGTGTCAGGGTGATTTTCATCTATAAAGGTTTGCAGTTCAACCCACTGTGCACACATTTCCTTAATCTTTGAAGTAGGCACAATGGATTCCACAACTGGCATAGGCTTCTCAGGTTAGCCCCAAACCCTTCAAAATCTTTCTTAATTTCCATACTAATTCTCACCCTTTTTACCACAGGTTGGCACTAGAACTTTCTTGGGGCCCATGGTCACTTATTTTCCAGAAACAGCACCGAAAACACTGTAATAATACGAAATATTCCGAGTGTATGCTTGGATGTTACCGCGGAGGCTGGCTGGTAAACAATGGGACGGCCGGCACATGTGAGGCTGGCTGAGGGCACATTGGACGCGTCTCGGACGAAAATCGGTAAGCGGGTTTTTAATCGGTATGCGCGGCAAAAATTTTGCGATAAAAGTAATCGGTATGCGGAAAAATCTCTATGTGATGCCATCGTTATGCGGGGGTCCACTGTATTTCGTATTATTACAGTGTTTTCGGTGCTGTTTCTGGAAAATAAGTGACCATGGGCCCCAAGAAAGCTTCTAGTGCCAACCCTACACCAATAAGGGTGAGAATTCCCATTGAAATGAAGAAAGAGATCATTGATAAGTATGAAAGTGGAGTGCGTATCGCCGACCTAGTCAAGTTGTACAAGAAACCCCAATCAACCATCGCTACTATTGTGGGCACCAAAAAGACAATCAAGGAAGCTGTTCTTGCCAAAGGTTTAACTGTGTTTTCGAAACAAAGATCGCAAGTGATGGAAGATGTTGAGAGACTCTTATTGGTGTGGATAAATGAAAAACAGCTAGCAGGAGATAGCGTCTCTCAAGCGATCATATGTGAAAAGCTAGGAAGTTGCATGAGGATTTTATTAAAAAAATGCCTGCAACTAGTGATGATGTGAGTGAATTTAAGGCCAGCAAAGGTTGGTTTGAGAGATTTAAGAAGCGTAGTGGCATCCATAGTGTGATAAGGCATGGTGAGGCTGCCAGTTCAGACCACAAAGCGGCTGAAAAATATGTGCAGGAATTCAAGGAGTACATAGAAAACTGAAGGACTGAAACCTGAACAAGTGTTTAATTGTGATGAAACAGGCCTGTTCTGGAAGAAAATGCCAAGCAGGACCTACATTACTCAGGAGTAAAAGGCACTCCCAGGACATAAGCCTATGAAAGACAGGCTTACTCTTCTCATGTGTGCCAATGCTACTGGTGATTGCAAAGTGAAGCCTTTATTAGTGTATCACTCTGAAACTCCCAGAGCGTTCAGGCAAAAGAATGTCCCTCAAGGATAATTTGTGTGTGCTGTGGAGGGCAAACAGTAAGGCATGGGTCACTAGGGAATTTTTCTATAACTGGTTACACCATGCATTTGCCCCCAATGTGAAAGATTACCTAACTGAAAAGAAATTAGAACTTAAGTGCCTCCTGGTGTTAGACAATGCCCCTGGTCATCCTACAGACGTGGCAGAGCGACTTTATGGGGACATGAGCTTCATTAAGGTGAAGTTTTTTCCTCCTAATACCACTCCTCTCTGCAGCCCATGGACCAGCAGGTTATTTCCAACTTCAAGAAACTGTACACAAAAGCTCTGTTTGAAAGGTGCTTTGTAATGACCTCAGAAACTCAACTGACTCTAAGAGAGTTTTGGAGAGATCACTTTAATATCCTCAATTGTGTAAACCTTATAGGTAAGGCTTGGGAGGAAGTGACTAAGAGGACCTTGAACTCTGCTTGGAAGAAACTGTGGCCAGAATGTGTAGACAAAAGGGATTTTGAAGGGTTTGAGGCTAACCCTGAGATGATTATGCCAGTTGAGGAATCCATTGTGGCATTGGGGAAAATCCTTGGGTTGGAGGTTAGTGGGGAGGTGTGGAAGAGTTGGTGGAGGAGGACAATGAAAACTAACCACTGATGAGCTGATAGAAATTCAAACGGACTACTGCATCAGTCTCATTCAAATCATCCTAGAGTGCTATAATGTCCACATTAGATGAATTGGACAGCATAATTTGGTGTCATCAGCAAATTTTGCTTATGTCTCTTATTTATTCCCTCATCTAGGTCATGTATGTAAATTGTGAGCAACAAGGAGCGCAACACTGACCCTGTGAAACACCGCTTGGGACGTGCCCCCATTTGTGGATTTCTTCCCATTTATGCAACTCTCTGCCTACCTATTTGTCAACCGGGCCTCTAATATGGTCGTCAACCAAATGGTTGTATGGGCTGAACTGCGGTACTAGCTGGTGCTGCTTGTTATGAAAGATATTGCTCATGGACATACTAAATGGAAATAAACCTATTTTCAGTACTTGAAGGAGTGGTGGGGGGAATGTTTCAGTATGAGGGTAACTCCACCCCCCCCCCCCTCCCCTTTAATATAATAGGTGCCTCTCTCACTTAGCGATGTACTTCATTCTTCAACGAATTGGAACTTAGGACAGGCTCTCTGACCAGTATGCATACCTAAATAATGTATTTAGAGCCTGATTTCCTCCTATCTGGTTTAATACAACACGCTTATCACTTAATGGCGGACTGTTCCATGCCTAGACCAGTCGGGTAAGCGAATTCGTCAACTAAGTGAGGTGCTTACTTTTAATGGTAGTGAGTTTGTGGTTAAACTATCTTTGATACTGTTTTAATGTCACCTTTGCACCTTTTATACATTTCTGGTATATTATTAAATGTTTTTGCAGTGTGTACGTATATTTAATAAAAAGAATAAATAGAGGAAAGCAGCTCTAATTACATTATTTAGACTTCCCATACTGGTCTGAGAGCCCGTCGTAAGTATGAGGCATCGGTAAATGAGTCGTTGCTAAGTGAGGCAGATGCGTATACAGTTCCACTACTGTATAAACATTTTAAAATATATCAGAAATCATTATAAATGGTGCTGAGGTAACATTAAAACAATATTCAAAAGATGGTTGAACGAACCCTCTACATTATAATAGTTATGCTCCATCAATTAGCGTCAAATTTGTTTACCGGACGTGTTCTTGGGAAAGGAATTCTGTCTTTAACTGAGGAGAGGTTCGTATTAAATAATTATTTAACAGCCAATCCAAGGGGGAAGTGGAACAGTTCTTCCTCCATCAGCCTTGGGTTGGCGTTAGATGGTGACTAAAATGCAGGAGCAGAGGGAATGTAACCCCTTCTTTATTATCTAATTTTAAATTTAGAAACTTAAGTTTTTCTTTTGGGCCACCTGCCCCCCCTCAGTGGATGTGGCTGGTTTGTTGAAAGTAGTAGTTCTAACCTGAATTGTATACTGTTGTTGCAGCATCGGAGATAACGTTTTGTGTAAAGAAGCAGGTCTGATTGGTATCCGGTAATATATTGAATAACATGAGATGCCTTTTTTTTTTTTTTAAACCTCTTTGCCTATTCTATGAATAAAGGAAACCCTCGATTTGAAAGATTTTTGAGATAAGCGAGATCTACTGGTGAAAAGTTCCAGTAATCAGTTGAGATTCATACAACAGCCAACTGTCTGACTGTCCTATAGCAACAAAAATACTTTTGCCATTATTTGGTTAGGCTGATGATAGTTGTAGATCATTTAAAATTTATAAAATCATTTAAATATCTTCAAATTGTTAATTATTTTTATTTTTTTTTTTGTATTATCACACCGGCCGATTCCCTCAAGGCCGGTGGCCGAAAAAAGAAAAAACCTTTACCATCATTCAATCCATCACTGTCTTGCCAGAAGGGTGCTTTACACTACAGTTTTTATACCTTGTTGTTAATGTTCAAGATTTATACACCCTCTTAACAAAATTTATTTTCAACATTTATTGCAAAGGATTTGTAGTTTTTCTACATTTCAGTATTGTATTAGGTATACAGTAAAGAACTTTATTTTATTTTTTTTTTTTATCAGAGGTTTACTGTTTTTTTCCTTATAAGCATATTAGTAAGGAATGTGTTCATAATCTTATGAATTTTTTTTTTTTTTATCACTCCTCGAGTTGCTTTTGTCTCGTCTACTGAGGCAGGGTAACCCATAAAAGATGAACCACACTCGCAGTTATTCATTCACTTTGTCTTGCCAGGAGCATGTTGACATTACAATTCAGATGGTCCTTTGAACTGCATTTAATTAGTGTTCAGTATGTCAACTGTTTAACAAAGTAAAATTTATTTGTATTTAAAGCCTTTTTTTATTATTTAATTGCAATGATTTCCCTTTTAGGCTTCAGAAGCTGGTGTACATCGTCCACATGTTGCTGGCATCCATGGCCGGGAAAATGAAGGTGCCTACAGCATTGTACTCTCTGGTGGCTATGAAGATGATGAAGATAATGGAGACTCCTTCACCTACACTGGCTCAGGCGGCAGGGACCTCTCTGGTAATAAAAGAACTGCTGAACAATCCTGCGATCAGCAGCTTACTAGGATGAACAGGTAAAAGTTGCTAGATAAATGTTTATTAATACTATTATAATTTATTAATACACTGGCTGTACACAAATAACCCACACATAAGAGAGAGGATCTTACAACAGTCTTGACTTGGACCATTTACAAAGTCATTGTGATTTTTGTAAAATGGTCCAAAAGTCAGACCAAAATGTCGTCGGTAAGCTCCTCTCTCCTATGTGCGGGTTATTTGTTGTATTGTTCCAGTCACGGTTTGCCCCCCCTATGCCCTTTTTGTTTTTTGCACTGACTGTATCTCGCTGAGGCAGGGCTGACCCGAGAGAAAAAAAGAAACTTAACTTTTTCTTCTTGTTGCATTTAGTAATTTATACAGAACGCGGGGTGTACTAGCCTCTTGATCCCAACTTCTTAGTCATCTTTATGACATGGCATGAGTTATGAAGGAAGATTCTTTATCTGGTTTTCCAATGGAGATTTACAATTATATCAAATTTCTTTTGTTATTGGAGAATGTTTGGATAGGCAAACATATGTTCCCAGAGTGACATTAGGTATTGTTAAAAAATGTGAATTTGTCACTAGTTTGGAAGATAAGGTTGTACCACACTGCAAATTGTGTTGTAAGTAAGTAAGTTTATTTCAGGTATACACAAATACAGTTTACATAGAATTATCATACATAGAGCACATATTGTGTAGAGAACCTAGGATAACCCAAAAAATCAGACAGAGTGGATATTTCCAATTGAGGTGGTCCTTTGTAGCTAGTTCGTTATTATTATATTTTATTGTGTTATAAGACTTTATTATTATAGGGAAGTGCTAAGATTTTAAGTCTTTGTAACAGGCACCACCATCACCAAATCCGGCATAACAGGACATCGGGTTCCCATCAGTTATTCAGCACTAATTTCGCGCTAGCATAATTTCAAACTTTCCAGGGTCACCACACAACTGCTGGTACTGTTATATGGTGGCAGGTATTGCTGCCATAAGTGTCAGTTCCAATTTCTTTTTCTCCATTTATTGTTATAACTGCTTACTTTTAGGTCCTAGCCATTGGATTCCCAACAAATAAAAGTCGATGCTTTCTATGTGTATGCACCTACCACAGTACAGTGTCCATTAAAGATTAAGGTGGCTTTGAGCCACTGTCATTGCCATGAGCTCAGTCTCGGAGCAAGGGGAATATGCTTATTATTACACTACAAACTAACCACTACAGTTATTTTGCCTATCACAATTGATCTTTTTTTTTCCAACAAGTCGGCCGTCTCCCACCGAGGCAGGGTGACCAAAATAGAAAGAAAATCCCAAAATGAAAATACTTTCATCATCATCAACACTTTCACCACACTCGCACTTTATCCATGGTTTTGCAGAGGTGCTCGAATACAACAGTCTAGACAGCATACAGATATTAAGGTTAACAAAACATATCCCTCCAAACTGCCATATCCAAACCCCTCCTTTAAAGTGCAGGCATTGTACTTCCATTTCCAAGGACTCAAGTCCGACTATATGAAATAATAACCGGTTTCCTGAATTCATTCATAAAATATTACCCTGCATCACACTCACAGACGTCAGGTCCCAAGTACCATTGTCTCCATTCACTACTTCTAACACGCTCACGCCAACTCACTTGCTGGAAGTCCAAGCCCTCCTTGCCCACTATAACTCCTTTACCCCTCTCTCAAACCCTTTGAGGCTCGACCCTCCCCGCCTTCCTTCCCCTATAGATTTTATGCTTTACACTGTCATTCTACTTTGATCCATTCTCTCTAAATGACCAAACCACCTCAACAACCCTTTCTGCCTCTGACTAATATTTTATTAACTAACACTTCTCCTAATTTCCACACTCCGAATTTTCTGACATAATATTTACACCACACATTGCCCTTAACAGGGACATCTCACTGCCTCCAACCATCTCCTCGCTGATGCATTTACCACCCAAGCTTCACACCCATAGAAGAGTGTTGGTACGATCTATACTTTCTACATTCCCTTCTTTGCCTCCATTAGATAACGTTTTTTGACTTCCACATATACCTCAATTTGCACCACTCACTTTTTTCCCTCATCAATTCTATGATTTAACCTCCTTCCTTAATAAATCCATCCGCCGACACATCAACTCCCATAGTATCGGAAAACATTCACTTCTTCCATACTCCTCCTCCCCAATTTGATATCAATTTTTCTTTATCTAAATTTTTTGCACCCTCTCCCCTTACCTTTTCTATGTTCACTTTAATTTTACTTTAACAATTTCCCAAAATCATCCATAACCTTTGCAATTTTTCTTTAAATCTCCCATAGCACAGTATCATCAGCAAAAAGTAACTGTGTCTTCCCATTTTAAATTTGTTTCCCCCAAAAATTTTAACCCCCACCCTCTCCCAAAAACCCCCTGCATTTACTTCCTTTTAAAAACCCCATTTAAAAAATATTAAAAACCATGGTGACTTTAAACCCCGTCTAAGATATTTTTCTGGGAAGTAGTTCCCTCTCTTCTACACACCCTAACCTGAGCCTCACTATCCTCATAAAAACCTCTTTAACGCATTTAATAACTTACCACCTATTCATATACTTGCATGACATCTGCCACATTGCTCCTCTATCCACTCTATCATATGCCTCTTTTTAAATCCAATTAAATGCAATAAAAAAATTCACTATCTTTGCTAAAATACTGTTCACATATATGCTTTCAATGTTGTAAACAACTGTCTACACATCCCTACCCACTCTGAAACCTCCTTGCTATCCGCAATCTACATTCTGTTTTTCTCTACATTTCTTTCAATTATAAACCCTACGATACACTTTTCCTGTATACTCAGTAAGCTGATTTCCTCTATAATTTTTACAGGTCTCTTTTGTCCCCTTTCCTTTATATAAAGGACATTTTACATGCTCTCTGCCAATCCTATGTTACCTTACCCTCTTTTCATACATTTATTCAACAAAAGTACCAACCATCTCCAACACTATATCCCCCCCTCTTTTAACATTTCTGTCATGATCCCATCAGTTCCAGCTGCTTTAACCCCTTTCATTTTACATAATGCCTCACGTACTCCCCCAATTACATTCTGCTTTTCTTCACTCCTAAAAGATGGTATATACCTCCCTGACCAGTGCATGAAATTCCTGCCTACTGTTTCTTCCTCTTAACATTTAAAGTTCTCAAATATTCTCGCCATCTACCAATACCTCCATCTTCCCATCTACTTAACTCCCTACTATGTTTTTAACTGACAATCATATTTTCCCGAGGCTTTTTAAACTTGTTTAACTCACTCCAAAATTTATCTAATATGTATTAATAAACTATTTAAGATGACATAAAAATCATGTTAATACTCAGAATAAAATATTTGCATAATACCAAGCAGTTTTGTGTAGGTATAAGAGGGGCAACTGATTATATCGGCATCATTTTTCTTAGTTGTAAGCTACAGTTAGAGTATAGAGGTAGATGGGAAAAGAGGAATCGGTGGCTACATACAAAGTAAGTAGGAGGTGAAAAGTGTAATTTAACTAAGGGAGGAGGAAGTTCGGGGAGATAAAGTACGACTGTTGGCAGAAAGGTGGGTGGTGCAAAGATGAGTAGTAGGGGGTTGGATGAGGGTTGGAATAGTTTTAAAAATGCAGGCAGTATCAGAATGTGGGCAGAAGTTTTGTGGTTTAGTGATGGGGGTGAGGGAGGTGGAAGAGGAGTGAGTGGTGGAATGTTGAAAGTAAGGGTGTGATAGAAAGTGAAAAGTTTAGGTTTTGAAGAGGTTTTTACAAAGCAGAAGTGTTATATGAAAAGAGAGTTATGGGGAAGTAAATGAAATGGTGATTAAAAAAAAGTGAGTGGTTGAGAGTGTGCAAAAGGTGAGCGTGATAGAGTGGAGAGGCACTGTCAAGAAATTTTAAAGAAATAAGAAAAAATTTTTGGTAGTGAGTTAATCCAAGTTAAGAAAAGCCTAGGGAAAGTATGGATTTGTCAGTTTAAAATTACAGAGTAGGGGAGTTAGTAGATGGGGAGATGGAGGTATTAGGTAGATGGCGAGAATATTTTGAGGAAACTTTTAAATGTTGAGGATGAAAGGGAGGTGGTAATTTCATGCAAATGGTCAGGGAGGTATACCATTTTTGTGGAGTGAAGAAGAGCAGAATGTAAGATGTGGGGAGGTTGTGAGGACATTACGAGGAATGAAAGGGGTTTAAAGCAGCTGGAACTGGTGGGATCATGACTCAGAAATTTAAAAGCAGGTGGAGGATATAGTGTTGGAGTAGGTTGGTACTGTTGTTTATTAAATGTTTGAAAGAGGGAAGGTACCTAGGGAGTGGTTGGAGAGCATGTATAGTCCTTTATATAAAAGGGAAAGGGGACAAAAGAGATTGTAAAAATTATAGAGAATAAGTTTATGAGTATACCAGGAAAAAGTGTACGGTTGGGTTTTAATTGAAGGAATTAGAGATAAGACAGAATGTAGGAATTGCGGATGAGCAGGGAAGGTTTCAGAGTGGGTAGGGGATGTGTAGATCCAAGTGTTTTCATTGAAGACATATATGTGAACAGTATTTTGATAAAGTAGGGTAGTTTTTATTGCATTTATGGGATTAGAAAAGGCAAATGTGAGTGGATAGGGGAGAGCAATGTGCAGATGTTTGCAAGTATATGGAATAAGGTGGTAAGTTACTAATTGCTGTAAAGTTTTTTGAGGATAGTGAGGCTCAGGTTAGGGGTGTGTAGAGAGAGGGAGATACTTCCCGCGTAAAAGATAGGTCTTAGACAGGGATTGTGTAATGTCACCATGGTTGTTTAATATTATTTATTAGGTGGGGTTGTAAAAGAAGTAAATGCTAGGGTGTTCGGGAGAGAGGTGGGATTTAAATTATGGGGAATCAAATTCAAAATGGAATTACACAGTTTACTTTTGCTCTGATGATACTGTGCTTATGGGAGATTCTAAAGAAAAAATTGCAAAGGTTTAGTGGATTGAGTTTTGGGAATGTGTGTAAAGGTAGAAAGTGAAAAGTGAACATAGAAAAGAGTTAAGTGATGAGGAGGTATCCCAATGATTTAGATAAGAAAAATTGGATATCAAATTGGGGAGGAGGAAGTATGGAAGAAGTATATGTTTTCAGATAATTGGGAGTTGACGTGTCGGCGGATGGATTTTGAAGGATGAGGTTAATCATAGAATTGATGAGGGGAAAAAAAGGCGAGTGGTGCATTGAGGTATTTGTGGATGTCAAAAAAACGTTATCTATGGTGGCAAAGAAAGGAATGTATGGAAAGTATAATAGTACCAACACTCATATATGTGTGTGAAGCCTTGGGTGGTTAAATGCAGGCAGCGAAGGAGACGGTTGGAGGCAGTGGAGATGTCCTGTCTAAGGGCAATGTGTGGTGTAAATATTTATGCAGAAAATTCGGAGTGTGGATTAGGTAAAGGTGTGGAGTTAATAAGAGTATTAGTCAGAGGGCAGAAGTGGGGTGGTTGAGGTGGGTTTGGTCATCTTAGAGAGAATGAATCAAGTTTGAATGACATTGAAAGCATAAAATCTATTGGGGAAGGAGGCGAGGTAGGGGTGCGTCCTCGAAGGGTTGGGGAGAGGGGAGTAAAGGACGGTTTTGTGGCAAGGGGCTTGGACTTCCAGACTAGCTGCGGAGCGTGTTAGATAGGAGTGAATGGAGACGATTGGTACTTAGACCTGACGATCTGTTGGAGTGTGAGTTGGGTAATAGTTAGTGAAGGGTTTTCAGGAAACGTTATTTTCATATAGTCGGACTGAGTCTTGGAAATGGGAAAGTACAATGCCTGCACTTTTAAAGGGGGGATTTGGGATTTTGGCAGTTATTTGCAGGGATTTGTTGTGTATCTTTATACGTATATGATTCTAAACTGTTGTTATATTGAGCTCCTCTGCCAAAAAACAGTGTTTTATGTGACGAGCGTGTGGTGAAAGTGTTGAATGATTGATGAAAGCATTTCTTTTTGGGGATTTTCTTTCTTTTTTGGGTCACCCTCGCATTCGGTGGGAGACGGCCAACTTGTTTGAAAAAAAAAAATTGAAGAGGATATGGGATATCAAGTACCTTTCTCTTATCCCTGCTTGGGGCTGATATTAGAGAAAGCGGAACATTAGCCAGGGCTTACTGTGATTTACACTCGTACTGCACCATAAACTGAAACTTGAAAGTATTTTCTTACATTGATTATCACACTTAGCAGTATTTGTGTAGAGACCTAGGATAACCCAAAAAAAGAAAGTAGGCTTATTTCTAGTACTAGCTTGGGTAGCCATATTGTGATTTTTGGTATATATTCGATTACCACGCGGGCGTAGAAAAATTGGAGTTTTTCTTTACACCTGTTTTCTGTGTTCACCCGTCAGTAAATGGGTTCTGGGTGTTTTGTGGGACTGGTTATGGTTCCTCATCCTGGGACACTGACCTAATTGCCTGAAATGCTTAGCATAACAAGGGGTTTCTAACATAGTATTGTCACTGGTCTGTCAGCTATGGTCTGTATTATTTTCTTGTACATTGTAGTAAATATAGATATTATTATTGTTGGTATTATTTTTATTTTATTTTCTTTCTGTTGTTTTGTCTGGGCTATACTTATTGAAACTTGGGCAATGTATGATGGAAATATGCTTCTTAACGTACACCAGAAATGAAAGAAATCAGACCATAATAATGGAGTTCAACTTCTCGGCCATTAGTGGCCCATAGCGGTTATTTTGTATGGTTTTTTTTTATGGTTGTATTCTCGTTTTTTTTTTGGTCTCTTTTGATAGAATGGAAGCTTATACTACAGAATAGATATGATTTTTTATTGCGTTCACGACGAATAAGTAGTCATGAAATATTTGGCTGAAGTAGCGGAAATGTCCAATTCTTTAGCGATGTATTCAAGAAAAAACACGTTGTGCATCTGCCAGTCCAAATTCCAATACACCGTCAAGAAATGGGGGTGACACGATATTACAGTTGTTACTTAATGCGGTAGTCATGCATAACAGTAAATTTCTATTTTTTGTGTGAATAAAAATTCCAAACCTGGTAACAGGAGTAATATAAGAGGGACCTGGAGCCATGACTGATGAACAGAGAAAGTGTTATCTTAGCGCCAGGAATGTCTGCATTGTTTATTCTGGACCTTATTTTGAAATTGGCCAAATTACCAATCTCTGACCAATGGGTATTGAAATGGTGAAGGGGAAACATGGGCGGTTTCTTGTATCAGCCGACAGAATAGAAGTAAATAAATAAGTTAAGTTTATTCAGGTATAACGAAAATACTGTTACGTAAGATTATCATACATAGTAGCGTATTATATAGAGGAAACCTAGGAAAACTCAAAAAAGTCAGACAAAGTGACTTATTTCCAGTACCTAGCTTTGGCTTGCCATATATGATTTTTGGTAAATATTGTTTTTTCTCAGTTATTTTTTGGGCTATCTTATTGAAACTTCATCAATGTATGATGGAAAGATGCTTCTTAACATACATCAAAAATAAAAAAGAAACAGACGATAAATAAGGGAGTTCACTTCTCAGCCTTTAGTCACTTCTTTGCGGTATATTTTCGTATGGTTTTTATGGTTGTATTCTTGGGTTTTTGGTCTCATTTGATAGAATGGAAGATATATTACAGAAATACGTGTAGATGTGATTTTGATTGGCTTCACAACGAAAAGTACCTTGAAATTGAGCTCAATGAACTTTCTGTAAGTCAAGTTGGTTAATTTTTTTAAGTGTATTCTAACCTAACCACTCTGTAATTCAGCAAACTCAGTAATCCGACACACTACAGGTCCCAGTGATGCCGGCTTTGTGATGGCTGACCTGTATATTATCTAGGGAATAGTGGAGGTGCGAGGTAAATAGGTTTGATCTAAAGAAGGGAGGGAAGTTCCAAATTCTTGGATGAAGAGCCCTTCAACATCAAAGCACCCCATGTTAAGGAAAACTAAAACTGTAGTTTAAAAAAAATATCCTCTAGATAATGTTTGCTGATTCCACAAATAAATAATGCAAAGTTGCACAAATGTTGAGACCGATTATATCATTAATTTTTATTTTTATCTTTCTCATATGTAATTCTTACTTTTTTTGTTTGTTTGCTTTTTCAAGAGCCCTTGCCCTAAATTGCAATGTGCCAGTAAACAAAAATGGAGCAGAAGCCAAAGACTGGAAAGGAGGCAAGCCAGTGCGAAGTCAGTTAGAAATGCAAAAGGCCGTAAGCATTCAAAGTATGCACCAGAGGAAGGTAACAGGTAAGTTGTCATTAATAGATTTTATTGGTAGCACATTAAACAATGATTTTCATGAATATGGTAAGTTGGGGAGGAATGGATATTGAATCTAAAACATATTTTGATAAGCTAAGTTTTGCTATTAAAAAATCTTAGTATGACTCTGTATAAAGTTCACTTCTCTGAGGTGCTAGTATTTCACCTTGTTCATTTTTATCTGGCACAAGCCAATGCTTCATGCCATCCTTCATAAATGGTATCAAAATCAGCATTGATTTGCCTTTGTAGGCACTAGAGAATTGCAGTTATACAGTGGACCCCCGCATAGCGAACTTAATCCGTGCAAGAGGGCTGGTCGTTATGCGAAATGTTCGCTATGCGAATTAATTTTCCCCATAGAAATAATGCGAAATAAATTAATCCGTTGCAAGTACACCAAAAGTGATGAAAAAAAAAATTTTTTTACAACAATAAAATGTTATTTTAGTACACAACTGAAAAGGCATGCACAATTTATGGGGACACTTAGCTTTTATTGAAGTTCTGGTGAGGATTGATGGGATGGGGGGGAGGAGGGGAGATGAGAGTGTTAGTGTTTAGATGGGGAATCCCCTTCCATTAGGACTTGAGGTAGAGCAAGTCCTTTTCTGGGGTTACTTCCCTTCTTTTTTTAATGCCTCAGGACCAGCTTCAGAGTCACTGGACTTCTTTCGGCACTACATATCTGTCCATAGTGGCCTGTACCTCTCGTTCCTTTATGATTTGTCTAAAGTGGTTCGACGAAACAGTGTCATTGGTAACAGTCACGCCAAGCACGCTTGCTTTAGCTGTGTGAGGGTGGATTTTCATCAAAAAAAGGTTTTGCCCACTTCAAGCCATTTTGGCCAATTTCCTTAATCTTTGAAAGAGGCTATTCCTTCAATTTCCGCTCTCTCCCTCCTTTGGAAACCAGTTCCCCAGGTCTGGCCTCTTGCTCTTGAAGTTGATCTATCAGCTCATAAGTGGTTTGTTCTTCATTGTCCTCCTCCACCAACTCTTCCACATCCTCCCCACTAACCTCCAACCCCAAGGACTTCCCCAATTCCACAATTGATTCCTCAAACTGGTATACTACTCCTCTCAGGGTTAGCCTCAAACCCTTCAAAATCCCTTTTGTCTACACATTCTGGCCACAGTTTCTTCCAAGCAGAGTTCAAGGTTCTCTTAGTCACTCCCTCCCAAGCCTTACCTATAAGGTTACACAATTGAGGATATTAAAGTGATCCTTCCAAAACTCTTTTAGAGTCAATCGAGTGTCTGTGGTCACTTCAAAGCACTTTTGAAACAGAGCTTTTGTGTACAGTTTCTTGAAGTTGGAAATGACCTGCTGGTCCATGGGCTGCAGGAGAGGAGTGGTATTAGGAGGCAAAACTTCACCTTAATGAAGCTCATGTCCCCATAAAGTCGCTCTGCCACGTCTGTAGGATGACCAGGGGCATTGTCTAACACCAGGAGGCACTTAAGGTCTAATTTCTTTTCAGTTAGGTAATCTTTCACATTGGGGGCAAATGATGGTGTAACCAGTTATAGAAAAATTCCCTAGTGACCCATGCCTTACTGTTTGTCCTCCACAGCACACACAAATTATCCTTGAGGACATTCTTTTGCCTGAACGCTCTGGGAGTTTCAGAGTGATACACTAATAAAGGCTTAACTTTGCAATCACCACTAGCATTGGCACACATCAACAAAGTAAGCCTGTCTTTCATAGGCTTATGTCCTGGGAGTGCCTTTTCCTCCTGAGTAATGTAGGTCCTGCTTGGCATTTTCTTCCAGAACAGGCCTGTTTCATCACAATTAAACACTTGTTCAGGTTCCAGTCCTTCAGTTTTTATGTACTCCTTGAATTCATGCACATATTTTTCAGCCGCTTTGTGGTCCGAACTGGCAGCCTCACCATGCCGTATCACACTATGGATGCCACTACGCTTCTTAAATCTCTCAAACCAACCTTTGCTGGCCTTAAATTCACTCACATCATCACTAGTTGCAGGCATTTTTTTAATTAAATCGTTCATGCAACTTCCTAGCCTTTTCACATATGATCGCTTGAGAGACGCTATCTCCTGCTAGCTGTTTTTCATTTATCCACACCAATAAGAGTCTCTCAACATCTTCCATCACTTGCGATCTTTGTTTCGAAAACACAGTTAAACCTTTGGCAACAACAGCTTCCTTGATTGCGTTTTCTTGCCCACAATAGAAGCGATGGTTGATTTTGGTTTCTTGTACAACCTGACCAGGTCGGTGATACGTACTCCACTTTCATACTTATCAATGATCTCTTTCTTCATTTCAATGGGTATTTCTTACCCTTTGAGGTGTAGGGTTGGCACTAGAAGCTTTCTTGGGGCCATGGTCACTTATTTTCCACAAACAGCACCGAAAACACTGTAATAATACGAAATATTCCGAGTGTATGCTTGAATGTTACCGCGGAGGCTGGCTGGTAAACAATGGGACGGGCGGCACATGTGAGGCTGGCTGAGGGCGCACATTGGACGCGTCTCGGACGAAGGTCGCTGAGCGGGTTTTTGTCCACTATGCGGGGCAAAATTTTAGCGAACAAAGCGTTCGCTATGCGGATTGTTCGCTATGCAAGGCGTTCGCTATGCGGGGATCCACTGTATATTAATAATGCCTTTCATTGCACAGTAAGAAATAACATATGTACTCACTGTGAGAACTTCTATCATTGTGCCTTGGAAAGTGAACTCGGGCACATGATATTGTGCAGCCAGATGTATTTTCATTTCTTTTATTTTACACAGTTATGTGTTGCCTTAATGCATTTGCCAGTCTATTTTATTATTTATTTTGTTACTGTTATTATTCTACTGGGTACAAATTAATACAGTTCATTTTTTTAAGGTATGATGGCATTTACAAAATTGTAAAGTACTGGCAAGATACAGGTAAAAGTGGCTACAAGGTGTGGCGATACTTGTTACGTCGTGATGACCCGACTCCTGCACCATGGACAAAGGAAGGCAAGCAGAGAATCCAAGAATTGGGATTAGAGATTCAGGTTCGTACTCCTAAGAGTCTGGGTAGTCTTGCCTTTTAATTGTGCCTCTTTACAAAATATCAGTGTCTTGTTTTTTCTACAGTAAATTCTATTGCACTTTAACTTTAACTTTTAGGCTGTTGCCTGTCCTTCTCTGAACTAGGTATAATACAATTTGTAATTTTAAATAATTTTCAAAATTTAGAAGTTAAAAATTTCGATTTAGATTTTTTGCCATTTTTCTTATTAAGAAAATGCATTTTGATAAGTTTGGAATGATCTTTATATTAAAGAGTTTTCTGAAGCAAGTGATAATTTTTTTACTATTTCTGATTAGGAATAGGAAGTGCTTCCCTGGATTTTCCTCTGGATAAATAAAACTTTAAAATTTTTATTAATAGACTTTGCTTTGTAATGCCACTTTTTTCTAATGAAGCTTTTACTGTACTTATTTGACTTGTATATTTTTTATATTAATGGGGGACTGCTAAATACATAGGGGTTATACAGTGGTGGGAGAATGGGAGATAAGGCTTGATCCAGGATAGGGAAGGGTAGCTCCAATTCCTTGGACCAAGACTCCTCTAGCATCAAAGTATCCCCCCTAATAGGTATTTAGCTTATGATTTTTGTTAGTTATGAGGTTGGCAACAGCAGATGTATACCGAAGAGGCTGTAAAGAAGTGTTGCATCGGCACTGTGTTGAGGAGAATACATAGTCAAAGAGCCAGTTAACACCATAGTTATTTGAAAACACTTTAAAACCTGTATTTTATGATTGAAAGAATTAAGAGGTAAGACAGAATGTAGGATTGCGGATGAGCAAGGAGGTTTCAGAGTGGGTAGGGGATGTGTAGATCAAGTGTTTACATTGAAGCATATATTTTTTTTTTTTTTTTTTTTTTTTTCAACAAGTCGGCCGTCTCCCACCGAGGCAGGGTGACCAAAAAAAAAAGAAAGAAAATCCCCAAACAGAAAACACTTTCATCATCATTCAACACTTTCACCACACTCACACATTATCACTGCTTTTGCAGAGGTGCTCAGAATACAACAGTTTAGAAGCATATACGTATAGAGATACACAACATATCCCTCCAAACTGCCAATATCCCAAACCCCTCCTTTAAAGTGCAGGCATTGTACTTCCCATTTCCAGGATCAAGTCCGACTATATGAAAATACCGGTTTCCCTGAATCCTTCACTAAATATTACCCTGCTCACACTCCAACAGATCGTCAGGTCCCAAGTATCATTCGTCTCCATTCACTCCTATCTAAAAACGCTCATGCACGCTTTGCTGGAAGTCCAAGCCCCTCCCCCACAAAACCTCCTTTACCCCCTCTTTCCAACCCTTTCGAGGACGACCCTACCCCTCTTTCCTTCCCCTATAGATTTATATGCTTTCCATGTCATTCTACTTTGATCCTTTTCTCTCTAAATGACCAAACCACCTCAAACAACCCCTCTTCTGCCCTCTGACTAATGCTTTTATTAATCCACACCTTCTTCCTAATTTTCTGCATAATATTTACACCACCATTGCCCTTAGACAGGACATCTCCACTGCCTCCAACCGTCTCCTCGCTGCTGCATTTACCCCCCAAAGGGTTCACATCCATATAAGAGTGTTGGTACTACTATACTTTCATACATTCCCTTCTTTGCCTCCATAGATAACGTTTTTTGACTCCACATATACCTCAATGCACCACTCACCTTTTTTCCCTCATCAATTCTATGATTAACCTCATCCTTCATAAATCCATCCGCCGACACGTCAACTCCCAAGTATCTGAAAACATTCACTTCTTCCATACTCCTCCTCCCCAATTTGATATCCAATTTTTCTTTATCTAAATCATTTGATACCCTCATCACCTTACTCTTTTCTATGTGAACAGTATTTAGATAAAGGTAGGGAAGTTTTTATTGCATTTATGGATTTAGAAAAGGCATATGATAGAGTGGATAGGGGATCAATGTGGCAGATGTTGCAAGTATATGGAATAGGTGGTAAGTTACTAAATGCTGTAAAGTGTTTTTATGAGGATAGCGAGGCTAAGGTTAGGGTGTGTAGAAGAGAGGGAGACTACTTCCCGGTAAAAGTAGGTCTTAGACAGGGATGTGTAATGTCACCATGGTTGTTTAATATATTTATAGATGGGGTTGAAAAAAGAAGAAAATTTGCTAGGGTGTTCGGGAGAGGGGTAGGATTAATTTAGGGGGAATCAAATACAAAATGGGAATTGACACAGTTATTTTTTGCTGATGATACGTGCTTATGGGAGATTCTAAAGAGAAATTGCAAAGGTTAGTGGATGAGCTTGGGAGTGTGTGTGTAAAGGTAGAAAGTTGAAAGTGAACATGGGAAAAGAGTAAGGTGATGAGGGTATCAAATGATTTGGATAAAGAAAAATTGGATATCAAATTGGGGAGAAGGAGTATGGAAGAAGTGAATGATTTCAGATACTTGGGAGTTGACGTTGTCAGCAGATGGATTTATGAAGGATGGGGTTTAAAATCATAGAATTGATGAGGAAAAAAAGGTTGAGTGGTGTGTTTGTGGAAATATGTGGAGTCAAAAAACGTTATCTATGGAGGCAAAGAAGGGAATGTATGAAAGTTTAGTAGTCCCAAAACACTTTAATGGGTGTGAAGCTTGGTTGTTGAATGCAGCAGCGAGGACACGGTTGGAGGCAGTGGAGATGTCCTGTCAAAGGGCAATGTGCGGTGTAAATATTATGCAGAAAATTCGGAGTGTGGAAATTAGGAGAAGGTGTGGAGTTAATAAAAGTATTAGTCAGAGGGCTGAAGAAGGTTGTTGGGGTGGTTTGGTCATTTAGAGAGAATGGATCAAGTAGAATGAATGGAGAGCATTTAAATCTGTAGGAGAAGGAAGGCGGGTAGGGGTTTCTTTCCTCGAAAAGGTTGGAAGGAAGGAGTAAGGGGGGTTTTTTGTGGCGAGGGGTTTGGGATTCCAGCAGGCGTGCATGAGCGTGTTAGATAGGAGTGAATGGAGACAAATGGTATTTGGGACCTGACGATCTGTTGGAGTGTGAGCAGGGTAATATTTAGTGAAGGGATTCAGGGAAACCGGTTATTTTTATATAGCTGGACTTGAGTCCTGGAAATGGGAAATACAGTGCCTGCACTCTAAAACAGGGGTTTCGGGATATTAGCAGTTTGGAGGGATACGTTGTGTATCTTTGTACGTATATGCTTCTAAACTGTTGTGTTCTGAGCACCTCTGCAAAAACAGTGATAATGTATGAGTTAGGTGAAAGTGTTGAATGATGATGAAAGTATTTTGTTTTTGGGGATTTTCTTTCTTTTTTGGGTCACCCTGCCTCGGTGGGAGACGGCCGACTTGTTGAAAAAAAAATAATTATGATTCTTCAGAGTACAGTACTGGATACATTACTATACTTTGAAGACAGGACTATATCCAGTACAGTACTGAATACAGCCCCACTGTGAGTGAACCTTCATAAAGTAAAGGTTTTTCCTATCTTTAAGTGGAATTACCTCATGTATGGTTTCACGAAGGTGTAACCAATTAAGCAGAATGGCAGGTGTGATGCAAGAAAAAGAGCTTTATTAGAGAAAAGAAAACTCATTTTCTCTCAAGAGTTCTTTCATAGGTAACTAGAGTAATATAATGTACTACCAAAATTTAACTTATTAAGCTAAATGTTTTAGTTATGGCCTATTTTTTTTTACAATGATGGAATAAATGTTGAGATAAATTTGCTCATTTTTTTATAAATACTCTTCAATTTTATTGTTCAAAGTACTCCTTTTGAAGAACTTGATCCAATGAATTGGAGCTTTTGACCACTTGAATCAGACAGGATTACCTCCCTGTACTGGGTGCTGGATGATCCCTGTGGGTTAAGTGATTTCCTAGGAATACAATATATATAATAAGTATTTAAAGGACATTAAAGTAGGATTATAACTTGCTGATACTTATCCTCATCTTTAATGTAGTGTATACAAGAGTAACATACATGGATATTCTTTAACCCAGAATATGATTACTTTAATCTTAGTATCCAGATGGTTACTTAGAAGCACAGAAAGAGAAAGAAGATAGAGCTGCTAATGAAGACAGTGAGATAGAAAATGAAGAAGATGGAAAAGGGAAGGGTAAATCAAGTAAGAGAAAAAATAACCAAAATTCATTTAATGAGGTAAGTGAGTCAAATTAAGTTGACACGTTGACTGGCTTCACTGAGAGTGCTGGTGGTGCAAATGTCTCTTTGCATCTTGCTTGTGACAGCAGAGTATAAAAAACATGCTCTGCAATGCTGAATGCCTCATACGGGCTTAGTGCTTGTTTATAACCCTTTCAGGGTCCCCAGGCCCTCTCCAAGACTTGTTCTCAGGGTCCCCCAATTTTTAAAAAAAAAAAATATTTTTCTCATGAAAAAAATAGAGAATCTTTTCCCGATCATAATGACACCCAAAAATATGAAATTTGATGGAAAACTTACGGAATATGCTCTCCCCGAAGTTAGCTGTCTCGACGATGTTTGCGCATTGGCAATTTTGCCCACTTTGGCCCTATTTTCGGCCCAAATTTCCCGTGTTACTAATCGACAAAAATCATAACTGTTTTGCTAGAAAATCCATATTTTCTATCGAATGAGTACAAGAAACCACCCATTTACTGATTTCAACTATCCAATAAAGTGGTCAGAATTTAACAATTTTGCCCAATTTTTACACAAATTTCAAAAAATACCAATTTCTGAATAGGGTCCAGAATAAACAAGAAAGACATTCCTGGCACTAAAAATACAAGTTCTCTGTTCGTTAGTCACATCCTCAGGCCCCTCTTGCATTTCTTTGGCTTTCCACTTTGAATTTTTATTCTTACAAAAAATAAAAGATTTACTTTTATGCGAACTACTGCATTAGTGTAGAAATGGTATAAATAATATCAGCGCACTTGTGAAGGAATATTAGACTCACCAGTTGACGTGTATTGGACGCTTGGCATGATTTGTTTACTTTTGAACTTTGGTAAAAATCGATCATTTCTGCTACTTTGAGCTCAATTTCAAGGTACTTTTCATTGTAAAACCAGTCAAAATCATCTCAATTTCTGTAATATGTCTTCCATTCTATAAAATGAGACCAGGAAAACTAAAATACAACAATAAATACCATACGAAAATACAGTGCAAATTCGCTGTTTTAATCCAAAAACGCGGTCAAAGTTTTTTTTCTCATTACGCACTGTGTGCTGCAGGATTTTTTTTACACTGTGCACACTGACCACATAGACCCATTCTTTCATATGTAGGCCTATTAGCTTTCTCTCACTAGATTTGAGGGCGCTAGAATTTAGGCGTTCTAGTACGTCAAAAACCCTGGGGCGTAAGACATACTAGTACGGCCGAAACCCTGAAAGGGTTAATGCTAATATTATTATTGCAGCCTCTCGTCACTTAGTGACGTACTCGTTTACCGACAACTCGGACTTACGACGGGCTCTTTGGCCAGTATTCATAACTAAATAATGTATGTTAGAGCTGATTTCCTCTATTCTGTTTATATTACAATATACAGTACACTACTGTGTAAACATTTAAAAATATACCAGAAATGCTATAAATGGTGCAGAGGTGACAGTTTAAAAATATCAAAGGTGGATGACACAAACCTACTACCATTATAGTGTGCTCCTCACTTAATGATGAATTTGTTTGCCGACGAGGTCTTAGGAACGTAACTCCGTCATTAAGTGAGGAGAGGCTGTATTATAATAAACAAGAGGGAGGGAGTATGGAAGAATTGAATGTGTTCAGATATTTGGGATTTGACTTGTCAGTGGATGAGTTTATGAAGTATAAGGTTAATCATAGAATTGATGTAGAGAAAAAAAAAGGTGAGTGGTGCATTAAGGTATCTGTGGAGACATAAAACATTATCCATGGAGGCAAAGAAGGGAATATATGAGAGTATTGTGGTACCAACACTTATATGGGTGTGAAGCATGGGTTGTAAATGAGGGCTGAAGAGGGGTTGTTGAGGTGGTTTGGTCATTTAGAAAGAAAGGAGCAAAGTAGAATGACTTGGAGAGTGTATAAATCTGTAGGGATAGGAAGGCGGGGTAGGGGTCGTCCTCAAAAAGGTTGGAGGGAGGAGGTAAAGGTTTTGTGGGCAAGAGGCTTGGACTTCTAGCAAGCATGCATGAGTGTGTTAGGAATGAATGGAGACAAATGGTTTTTGGGACCTGACAAGATGTTGGAATATGAGCAGGGTAATATTTTGTAATATTTTTACAAAGTAGAAGTGATGCAAGGAGGGAAGAGTATATGGAGAAAAAGAGAGAGGTTAAGAGAGTGGTGAAGCAGTGTAAAAAGAGAGCAAATGAGAGAGTGGGTGAGATGTTATCAACAAATTTTGTTAAAAATAAGAAAAAGTTTTGGAGTGAGATTAACAAGTTAAGAAAGCCTAGAGAACAAATGGATTTGTCAGTTAAAAATAGGAGAGGAGAGTTATTAAATGGAGAGTTAGAGGTATTGGGAAGATGGAGGGAATATTTTGGGGAAATTTTGTTAAATGTTGATGAAGATAGGGAAGCTGTGATTTCGTGTATAGGGCAAGGAGGAACAACATCTTGTAGGAGTGAGGAAGAGCCAGTTGTGAGTGTGGGGGAAGTTGTGAGGCAGTAGGTAAATAAAAGGGGGGAGGGCAGCCGGGATTGATGGGGTAAAAATAGAAATGTTAAAAGCAGGGTGGGGATGTAGTTTTGGAGTGGTTTTGGGGCAATTATTTAATAAATGTATGGAAAAAGGGTAAGGTACTAGGGGTTGGCAGAAAGCATGCATAGTTCCTTTGTATAAAAGGCAAAGGGGATAAAAGGAGATGCAAAAATTGTAGGGGGATAAGTCTGTTGAGTATACCTGGCAAAGTGTATGGTAGAGTTATTATTGAAAAAAATTTAAGAGTAAGACGGAGAATAGGATAGCAGATGAACAAGGAGGCTTTAGGAAAGGTAGGGTGGTGTGGACCAGGTGTTTACAGTGAAACTTAAGTGAATAGTATTTAGATAAGGCTAAAGAGGTCTTTTGTGGCATTTATGGATTTGGAAAAGGGATATGACAGGGTGGATATCGGGGCAATGTGGCAGATGTTGCAGGTGTATGGTGTAGGAGGTAGGTTACTGAAAGCAGTAAAGGGTTTTTATGAGGATAGTGAGGCTCAAGTTAGAGTATGTGGGGAAAGGGGGAAATTATTTCCCAGTAAAAGTAGGCCTTAGACAAGGATGTTGGATGTCAACCGTGGTTGTTTAATATATTTATAGATGGGGTTGTAAGAGAAGTAAATGCGAGGGTCTTGGCAAGAGGCGTGGAGTTAAAAAGATAAAGAATCACACATAAAGTGGGAGTTGTCACAGTTGCTCTTTGCTGATGACACTGTGCTCTTGGGAGATTCTGAAGAGAAGTTGCAGAGATTGGTGGAGGGAATTTTGGGTAGGGTGTGCAAAAGAAGAAAAATTAAAAGTGAATACAGGAAAGAGTAAGGTTAGAGGATAACAAAAAGATTAGGTGATGAAGATTGGAATATCAGATTGGAGGGAGAGAGTATGGAGGAGGTGAATGTATTCAGATATTTGGGAGTGGACGTGGTCAGGGGAAATGGGTCTATGAAAGATGAGGTGAATCATAGAATTGATGAGGGCAAAAGGGTGAGTGGTGCACTTAGGAGTCTGTGGAGACAAAGAACTTTGTCCTTGGAGGGAAAGAGAGGAATGTGAGGGGTATAGTTTTTACCAACGCTCTTATATGGGTGTGAAGCATGGGTGATGAATGTTGCAGCGAGGAGAAGGCTGGAGGCAGTGGAGATGTCATGTCTGAGAGCAATGTGTGGTTTTGAATATAATGCAGAGAATTCGTAGTTTGGAAGTTAGGAGGAGGTGCGGGATTACCAAAACTGTTGTCCAGAGGGCTGAGGAAGGGTTTTTGTTGAGGTGGTTCGGACATGTGGAGAGAATGGAGCGAAACAGAATAACTTCAAGAGTGTATCAGTCTGTAGTGGAAGGGAAGGCGGGTAGGGGTCTGCCTAGGAAAGGTTGGAGGGGGGGGGGTAAGGAGTTTTGTGTGCGAGGGGCTTGGACTTCCAGCAGGCATGCGTGAGCGTGTTTGATAGGGGATGAAATGGAGACAAATGGTTTTTAATATTGCGTGCGTTTGGGAGTGTGGGGCAAAGTAACATTTATGAGGGGTTCAGGGAAACCCGGGGCAGGCCGGGACTTGAGTCCTGGAGATGGAAGTACAGTGCCTGCACTCTGAAGGAGGGGTGTTAATGTTGCAGTTTAAAAACTGAAGTGTAAAGCACCCTTCTGGCAAGACAGTGATGGAGTGAAGATGGTGAAAGTTTTTCTTTTTTCGGGCCACCCTGCCTTGGTGGGAATCGGCCAGTGTGATAAAAAAAAAAAATATTTCGTGAAGGGATTCAGGGAAACTTGTTAGCCAGACTTGAGTTCTGGAAATGGGAAATACAGTGCTTGCACTTTAAAAGAGGGGTTTGGGATATTGGCAGTTTTTGGAGGGACATCTGAAGTCATATCAGAGTGCCTCTGCAAAGACAGTGATTTTGTATGAGTGATGAATGACGATGAAAGTTTTTTCTTTCTTTTTAAGTTTTTCTTTCTTTTTGGGTTGCCCTGCCTCAGTGGGAAACGGCTGACTTGTTAAAAAAAAAAAATAACACCCCGGGAGGTACTACCGTCCTACCAGGTGAGTGTAAAACGGAAACCCATGATTGTTCTACATGATGGTAGGATTGCTGGTGCCTTTTTTGTCGTAAACATACAAGATTTCAGGTATATCTTGCTATTTATATTAGGTCACACTACACTTGCATATGCAAGCATATTTTATATACACCCCCTCTGGGGCTTTCTTCTATTTTCTTACTAGTTTTGTTTATTTCCTCTTTTCCCCATGGGGAAGTGGAGCAGAATTCTTCCCTCTGTAAGCAATGCATGTCATAGGAGGCTACTAAAATACTGGGAGCAAGGTGCTAGCAACCCCTTCTCCTGTATATGTTACTAAATTTAAAAAGAGAAACTTGTTTTTCTTTTTAGGTCACCTTGCCTTGGTGGGATATGGCCAGTTTGTTAAAGAAAGAAAAAAATGAAAATGCCCAGTCATCATGGTCTTTCAAAGATGTCATTTCAATCAGCATTTTGATATCTCTTATGGTTTAGGTTATTAACCCTTTGACTGTTTCAGGGCCCTCTCTGAAACTGTCATTCTATGTCGCCAAATATTCGAAAAAAAAAAATTATTTTTTCTTATGAAAATGTTGGGAATATTTTTACTAGTGTTTTAAGCCTAAAAAAAAATTTTTGCCATCAGTACTTACCGAGATATAGAGCCGCAAAGTTTGCAGAAATTGACGTGCTTTTATGGCAACAGCGGCGACTGCCGCCCACCCGGTATTCTTTTATTTACTCTAATTCAAAGGTTTCTTGCATTTTTCATTATTTTTCTTTTCCAGGTAACTTATGTGGCCTGTGAGACCAATGTAAGGTGCATTGTTCAAATTACACTAAATTATTTACAACACAATAACAGAACAAACTTTATCACTATTAGTTTGTGTATACACTTTGTTTACACAAACAAACAATACAAACAATGTTTATTACTATTGTTCCATAATATATATACATATGTACAGTCACTAAACACGTTCCCTAGAACGGCTGCAGCTTGTGGAACTCTTTGAACATGGGTATATGCAGAGGGGCATTCACACTCCTCACACAAAAAACGGTGTCTCTGCGTGTTTGTGGGCGTTTTGTGGTATGCATACATTACATAACCCTCTTCTGAGCATTTTTCTTGGCAGTAGTAGGAGGCAGTTGTATGGGGTGTGATCACCAGGCCCATACGAAGATGACGTTCTGTGGGGGGCTGGTTCTATTGCAGGAGTTGTTCCTTTGTATTTTGCAATTATTGTCTGATTACCTGACAGGCAAAATTCACCAATTTGGTGTTTTGTTGGTCTTCAATTGTATATGTTATAAGCATTTAGCATAGAGATATAACAAGATGGAAAAAAAGTTTGATATACCACTTATAATCTTGCGTACACAGTCTGCAAACCCAATCTGCATGTCACATTTGTCCACTAAGCGCATATTGAGGTTGTGTCCATGACAGCTGCAGGCTTTAAAAATGGGTTCATTGGTCTCTCTGTTGTCCCTGCCACTGGGTACCATTTCGTTTGTGTGAACTGATGTCAACAATGTGACATCACGTTTGTCATGCCACCGAAATGCCATGATGTCATTGGCAGCAAAGGCTTGCACCTCACCTCTGGGGAGTGCCAGCGTCAAAACCTTGGCATATGTTTGCGATTACCACGCACTGTGCCACAAAAGGTCATGTCAAGTTCACTCGCAAGAATCACTGAGTAAGGGGCTTGTGTACCAGTTATCAGTAATAACATATGCCCTTACCAAGATATGGTTCCATCATTGTTCGAACCACATCACCAGAGATACCCAATAACTTCATGGTATCTCTCAAAGTATTACTGCCAGTGTACACAATAATATCAAAAACAAGACCACTTCTGCAATCACACAGTACAAATAGCTTTATACCAAGCGTTTCCTCTTGTTTGGGTTTATATATTGCTTGAATGAGAGTTTTCCCTTTTGAATAAAATCAAGGACTCATCAATAACAAGCTTCCTGAAGGGATAAAAATACATGCAGCACTTTGTTTCAGGTACATAAACACATTTCTTATCTTAAAATAACCTGTCGCTTCTGTCGGGCCCTGGTTTTGTCTAAAAAGTGTAACATACGCAACAGTATCAGGAAAGATTGACACCTATAATGTCACTAAAACCTGGAGTTGAATCAGGCGATCTGTTGTCCAGTATGTGGTGACAGTGTGCTTATAAACATGTGGCATAAGCATTATTGTGGCAAAAAACAGGTACATCTCTGCCACAGTTGTCCCCTTTCCCACTTGTGTAGCCGGGGATTTTGGTGAGAGAATTGTATTTGCCATGGTGTATTCACAGTATGTGTTGGGTTTCCCTGACAATGATGTCCATCGGGGGTTCATCGAAGAATAACTCAAAGCAGTCCAGTTCACTGGCATTGTTCCCAAGTGGACAAGATGGCTTTTTTCCACTTGTGTTTCATCAAAGTCATGGGGACTGGGAACAAACTCGTCAACCGTCCTGCCAATCCCAGATGCGGTCTGCTGGTGGGGTCTGGATATTGTACCGTGGTTGTGGCGTGCAGGTTGTGGTGGTGCAGGTTGTGGCATGTGGGGTAGGGTGAGGCTGGTTGTTCTGCTGAGTCAGCCGCGTGGCTAGTAGCGTGGCCCGGTGATGGTGCCACATGGGCCGTGCCACCCCTCACTATACAACCACTGCCTCCTCCCACTGTCACCATTCATACCCATCGTTACAATATCGTCATCTTCACTATCAGGTCGTGGTGTTGGCCCACGGGATGTGCTCCCAGAGTTTCTCCTTCCCCTTGGAACAACATATGAAACACTACCAGACCGCATGCTACGTGTACATACTGGCGCTTCACTGGGGAATATTCACTCTCACTGTCACTAGAACTGTTTTCAATGACCTTGAAATCACTTCACTATCACTATCACTGCTATCATCAGGGTTTGTACACGACCAAATAGTTTCCTCTTTCGTCCGGTACAGGCGAACGTGAACGTGAACAAGCCGGCACAGCACCAGAGGTCGAAAGGTTGTGGGTCATCTGGGTTTTCGTCACTATTTACGTTATCCTGGGCACTTTTTTCGGTAACACTCATTTGAAACCTTGAATTCACTGTCACTGACACTTTCATCACTGTTAGAGCTATCACTTGGGAACAAAAGACCCCCAATCCGCCGAGGAGTGGGGAACTTCTTCCCGAGAGGCATGGTAAAAATGGACTGACAACATGGCGTTCCCACAATGAAACCGCTAGGTCCCAGATTTTTTTCACAGGGTGCACACCGACCACTGAGACCCATTCTCTCCCGTGTAGGCCTATCAGGCCTTTGGCGCTCGATTTGAAGCCGCTAGAATTTGTGCGTATAAATACGTCAGAAACATTGGCTCGTAAGACGTATTTATACGTCGGAAACAGTCAAAGGGTTAAACCAGATCATACACAGGTGTTTAGCCTAAATTCAGTCTGGTCTTGCTGGATTAGTATAGGTGACTTTCTTTGGGAGTTCACAGTATCATTTAGCAGTGAGTTTGAATTTGTACACTGTTTTCTTGTGCATTTAAACTTTTTTCTATAAATTTTCTTTGGTGTCACTGTGCTTTGATATATAACCCCATATCCTTTATCTGATTTTTTTTTTTGTGTGTGTCTTCTCAATTAATATTGGTATAGCATTTTTGTGTGTGTGTGTGTGTGTGTGTGTGTGTGCATGTGCATGCACCTTAAACACTGACCGTCTCTCACTGAATGGTGACCTGAAAAACAAGGAAATGCATTCGCTATCATTCATTGAATGGCTGGCTTGCTAGAAGTGCACAAACCTCACAGTTCATATGACCTTCTGAACTACAACATCCCTGCCCCTCCTTCAGAGTGTAGGCATTGTATTTCACACCTCCAGGATTCAAATCTGTCTAACCAGTATTCGTGAATCCCTTCATAACTATTACCTTGCTTACACTCCACTAGCAGGTCAAGCCGTGAAAGCCATTTGTCTCCACTTTAATCTAGTAGGCTCACAGAAGCCTGCTGGATGCTCAAGCCATGATCACTTAATCTCTCCATTACCCCCCACATCTTTATAAACTCTTCCTGGGACAGCCCTTTATCCCTTCTCCTTTCCACCCCCAAATTTTGTATGCCCTTTTAGCCATTCTATTCTCCATCCCCCTCTAAAGGCCATGACCATTCTGAATTATAACTTTGGTGATCCCACACATTTCTAATTTCTACACTTGATTTATGTATAATATTCACACAACACCCTCAAAACTTGACATCTCCACAGCCTCAAGTCTTGTAGGTTAGTGCTTCATTTTATATTATAATTTAATAATCCACTGCCTCAAAACCCCCTTGCAGAAATGTTTTAAAGCCCATGCTTTACATCCATGTAAAAGTGTTGGTATTACTATATTCTAGTACATTTACACCCTTTCCCTCAGATAAATGTATTTTGTTTCACAGTTGTGTTAACTACCACCTACCTCTTTTTCCTTCTCTGTTCTGTGGGTTTTACTTCATTTTTGTGTTCCCCTTTGCTTAAATATTTCTTGCTAGCTTCATCCTTCTTTAATATTATTATTTAGAATCATCTTCCTGCTTAACTTAAAAGAAAAGAGCTTCATGGGTTTTTAGTTCATTCCTTAACTAATACAAGTTTGGGGACAATATACATTTAATGAGAAATTACTGTTAATATTCACACAATAAGTCCATTTTTTACAGCAGTAATGAGTTAATTTTTTGCTAGATTATATGTGCAGCTGCAAGACAAAACATTACAGTTTGTCATAAAATGTACAGAGGTCAAATGTTGCCCACATAGAATTAATTAAACTTCTAAACGGTGGGAATCTCTCAAAAAAAGAGAATATACTTGATAATATACTATAATGTACATGAATACATTTTGTTTATAAACCCTTTTAAAAAGGCCAGGGATATAATAGTTTTGTGTGTGTACTTTTCAGTCCTGAATGTAGTTAACTTTTTGGTTACCCTTGAAAAATTTTACTGGGACAGACTGTTTACATTTTGATAGAAACATAGAAATCAGAAGGTAAAATTTGGTTCCATTGATAAAAATTTTAATTTTGTCTAAAAAGTTAATATGTTGGTTACAGGGAATTGGATATTCTGAACCAAAGAAAAGGAAGAGTATTGTTCATATTCTTGAAAAGGAAGTGGAGCACCTAATCAAAAAGGATGAAAAGGAACGAAGCTTTGGAAAGAATGTAAAACTTTGCTTATAGAAGGTCGAACAGTAAGTAACTAATTTCTGTGGGGTGTGAATGTGATGCAGAGAATTTTTAGCTTGGAGATTAGAAGTAGGTGTGAGGTTACTAAAAGTATAGTTCACAGAGGTGAGGAAGGATTATTGAGGTGGTGGACATTTAGAGAGGGTAGAACAAAAATGTATGATTAGGGAAAATGAATAAAATTTGAAGTGGAGGAAAAGAAGGGGAGGGGTCATCCTAGGAAAGGGTTGAAGTAAAGGAGGTTTTGTGTGCAAGGGGCTTAAACATCCTGGTTTGGTTAGGTAAGGTTCATCAGGAAACAGGCAAGCGTTTTCCTGACATGGATCTTAGTCAGGTGATGACCCGCCATTGGAGCTTTTGGTCATCTGCCTGAGGCTTGCCCCTGGCTTACTGGTCCATCCTTTAAAAATTATGGTCATAGTTATAACCATTTTTATATTTTTGGGTGTCCAACTGGCTTGTGTGAGTGTGTTAGGAGCTAGCGATGATTTGATTTTGCTATTGGAGTGTGAGCAACTTTAACATTGATTTAAAAGATTTAGGGAAACCAGTTAGCCCTACTTGAGTCCTGGGGTGGAAAGTACAGTGCATTGCCACTGTAATATCAGCACACCTTTTACAAGACACTGATAGACTGCATAATGGTGAGTGTTTCCTCTTTTGGGTCACTCTACCTCGGTTTGGGAATGGGCCCGCATGTTAAAAAGAGTTTGAAGAAAATCTGTATTTTTGAATATGAATCTTAGATTGAAGTTAAAATTTATTTATAGTAAAATTTTTTATTTTTATTACTGTTTTTATTCATATGAAACTCTAAACTTGAAACTCATGAAGATCAGTCCTTTGTCAGCTAAGCCAAAAAACAGGTACCTTAACTGTGCTTTCATAGCTTACCGGTTTAAAAAAGAATTAAATCTTACTTCACAGTCTGGATCAGTTAAAAAATATTTTCCAAAAAGGAAAGGGTTTTAATATACAGTATGTTATGGTATTCATTTCATTAGAACACTAAATCTAATTGATGATTGGGTTTTTTTCAGCAATTCTTGAATGGTGTGGAGGAAAGGTTCTTGTGTGTGTGCTGTCAAGAGCTAGTTATCAAGCCCAGTCACTACTGACTGCAAGCACAATGTGTGGGCCAACCTTGCTTGCAGCGTTCTTTCAAAGCTGATGTGTTCACGTGTCCAGCCTGCAGATATGACTTAGGCAAAGACTATCCTATGGACATCAACAAACCACTTAGCAAATGTCTTGTAGCACTTTTTTCCTGGCTATGATGCAGCACGTTAGATTTTTGCAGAGGTACCCTTTTCCTTCTCTCAGTTTTACTGAAGGAATATGGGTAATCAAGAAGGTTTTTTATTCTTGATAATAAAACTGTACAGAAATTGGTTTCTTAAACTTATAACTATGTATATGGTTATATTCTCTGCATCCCCTTCTCACCCTATACTTGCCTAACAGTTTGTAGGGGAGAAGAGGCAATCAGTTTCTAACTCCTGGACCAGTGGTTGTGCCAAGGGGAAGGTTATGGGGACTTCAGCCTCCCCCAAACCCGAAAATAAAAATAGTAATAATGCTGTTTTTAAAGCAAGTCTCCTAGTCCCCTTCCATTCAGGTAGCCACTCAAACCCTCCCAATTCAGTAATTCTGGCACTGCCCCAGTCTTGGACCATACCTCATTACCATCCAACCCACCAAATGATGTGTTCCATGAATTCATGAATGTAATTTGTCTACCCAACAAGGGAAAAATAAAATGGGGTGACCAGCTCGTACATAGAAAGGGAAAAAATACATATTTTTTTTGTTAGTGCTTTATTTCATGGTTACAGCCAGGACCATACACTCGTACACTAAAAATATTACTGGTTAACAGTCTCAAAAAGTAAAATTTATCATGAAAATTTGAGGCTAATACAAAATTTTCTCATCTGTAAGGTGAGTAATGGTAACCTATATGTTAAGAGGACAAAATGTACATGCAAATTATTTAATAATTTGTTTAGTTAACATTTTAATGAATTTTTTACTGTACTAGTGTTAATGAATTTTCCTGGTTTTCCTGTATAAGTGTATTTAGTAATTGATATTATAGCTGTTAACCTGCCTTGGGGGGAAAAAACCCGTCAAAATTTATTTAGTTATATCATTACGATTTAAGCATCGATAATAATAGCTCAGTCAGTACTGATTTTGAGAGTGCTAAATTCTTAGAAATTATAGTCTGAGTATTTATAACATGTTGCATATTTTTAATGCCGTTTAACTTTACAAAAAAATTACTTGCAAGGCAGTAGTAATGTCTGTATTGATTGTTTTTTTATGTTTTATTGTATTTTTTAAATTTTAATGAAACCTGAAGTAAGTTACTTTATTTTTATTGTGCTTTGTATTTACAAATACTATATATTGTAGGTGAGCTTTGCTAAAACATTGGTATTGATTGACTGTCTAAACTTGTATCTGGACAGGTAAATTATTAAAGGGGAAACTGTCTTAAATTATTATTATTACAACTTCATAAAAAGTACAGTACTGCACTCTGACGGAAGGGTGGAGATATCGTATTTGGAGAGTCAGCAGAATAGCGATGTCAGCATGCTTCAGGCAAGACAGTGAGTGAATGAGTGATGGTGAATGCTTTCCTCTTAAGAGTCACCTTACATTGGGTTATTCAGTGTTACAGGTGTCTAGAGAGAGATTTTAAGGAAAGATTTTGTATGTTTTTTTTTTTTTTGCAGTTTGATTTAAAAACCGAATTGTTTTTACATTAGCTTTAAGTGCTAAACTTCATAGGGGTCATGCAAACACCTGGAGCTGGAGGCAATCAAAATTTTAAACCAAGGAAGGAATGAATAGCTCCAATTCCTTGAATAAAGAACTTGTCTCCAAGGGAAACCCTTCCCCTGCTGCCTTTTCATTGAAAAAGGGTTAAAATCAAATCACATGAATGATCTTTGATGGGGAATCACATGAAACCCCGAAAATGTATACCAAAGATTACACATTTTTCATTAAAAACTTTGTCTTCATAATAGCTTTTGTTAAATTTAAATGTTTAAATAGCAATGCCACTAATAATGCGAGGAGGATAAATAACTTTTATGTAATATTTTTATGTATCAGGTAGTGATGTAAGGGAAAAAACAATAAACTGGCATGTACTGTATATAAACCAGGGATTGTCTGTTGTTTCTTGACTTCTTAAATAAAGATAGAAATTGTAGCCTGCATCTCTTTGGACCTCCCTATTATTATTACAGGTATTACATCCATGGTCAGCACTAAACCTGTAGAGGGTCAGTGCCTATGGCTCAATTCAAGGAAATGGAGCTCATTAATTTCCTTAGAACAAGAGCCCCTCAACAGCATCAAGGACCAGACAAGCCTGGCCCATGGCCGTGCTCTGAGAGTAGTGAAACTCTTCAAAGACAAAGATATAAGAAACCTTCCTTGAGAGGCCTAGTATTCTTGGCTTTTGTTATTCACATAATTGCCTCTGTTTTGCTCATTTTATTACATTCATAGTGAGCACAGGCTGTAGGGATAATAGTGCTCATTTTGTCCTTTTTATTGTTATTAGACAAATATCTATTATAGTCACGGGAAAGCTTATTACTAAATTCATCGGGAGTTACAGTCCATAGTTTTGATTGTAATCATAATAAGTGCTAAACCCACAAAGGTTATAGATTAACTTACGAAGTGCATACAAATAAACCACTCTGCTTTGTGATCAAAGTAAGCTATTGGGATTATTACAAGGAACTCAGAATGAGTTCAAGTTCAAAGAATGCTACACAAGGGTCAATGAAGGCTGCATTTAACTGGCTACTGCCAAGTACAGTGGACCCCTGGTTATCCGCCATAATCCATTCCAGAAGGTCAGCCGATATGGGAAATATTAATTCGGCTAAGAATTAATGGAGATACAGTGGACCCCCGCCTTACGATCAGCTCCCAACTCGATTAATTATGTAAGTGTATTTTTGTAAGTGCTTTTGTACGTGTATTTTTGAGGGTCTGAAACGGACTAATCTAATTCACAATATTCCTTATGGGAACAAATTCGGTCTATAACGGCACCCGAACAGACCTCTGGAATGAAAAAATATCGTAAGGCAGGGGTCCACTGTACAATTAATCCGTTCCAAACAAAATATTCACAAAAAAATATTTTTTTTAATTATGTAAGTACAGGTCTCCCTCAACACTCACGAGGGTTAGGGGATCAAGAGCCTCGCGAATGTTGAAAAACCGTGAATGTTTGGTGCCCCGATATATTGTAGGGAAATATAATACAATACTGCTTCCTTAACTTGTTGAACCATGAACAATCATAAAATGCATGAAAACGCCGAAAATTTGCACTAAATACATACGTTATGCCTTAACAACATGTATGTTATTAAATACCACTGCCTCCACCACTCCGACCCCCCACAACTGGCAGCCAGCCCTCCCACCACTGTGTGGTGAGTGTTTTGTTTTTTTCATTATTTGCTATTAAACTACAGTATAAATAATGTCAACCAATTTATGACTGCATATTGGAATGGCTATTCGGACAGGTATTGGAAGGTGACATCATGTGTTTACTCTTGAACACAGCAAAGAATCAAACATTTGTGCTACTGCTAATAATAATAATACAGTGGACCCCCGCATACCGTTGGCATCACATAACGTTAAATCCACATACCGATACATTTTATCGCTAAGATTTTGCCTCGCATACCGCTAAAAAACCCGCTTAACGCTATTTGTCCGAGACGCGTCTAATGTGCGGCCTGAGCCAGTCTCACATGTTCCGCCGGTGGCATTGTTTACCAGCCAGCCTCCGCGGTAACATCCAAGCATACAATTGGAACATTTTGTATTATTACAGTGTTTTTGGTGATTTTATCTGCAAAATAAGTGACCATGGGCCCCAAGAAAGCTTCTAGTGCCAACCCTACAGGAATAAGGGTGAGAATTACTTTAGAGATGAAGAAAGAGATCGTTGCTAAGTATGAAAGTGGAGTGCGTGTCTCTGAGCTGGCCAGGTTGTATAGTAAACCCCAATCAACCATCGCTACTATTGTGTCCAAGAAAACGGCAATCAAGGAAGCTGTTCTTGCCAAAGGTTCAACTGTGTTTTCGAAACAGAGATCGCAAGTGATGGAAGATGTTGAGAGACTTATTGGTGTGGATAAATGAAAAACAGATAGCATCTCTCAAGTGATCATAAGTGAAAAGGCTAGGAAGTTGTATGAGGATTTAATTAAAAAAATGTCTGCAACTAGTGATGTGAGTGAATTTAAGGCCAGCAAAGGTTGGTTTGAGAGATTTAAGAAGCGTAGTGGCATACATAGTGTGATAAGGCATGGTGAGGCTGCCAGTTCGGACCACAAAGCAGCTGAAAAATATGTGCAGGAATTCAAGAAGTACATAGACAGTGAAGGACTGAAACCTGAACAGGTGTTTAATTGTGATGAAACAGGCCTGTTTTGGAAGAAAATGCCAAGCAGGACCTACATTACTCAGGAGGAAAAGGCAATCCCAGGACATAAGCCTATGAAAGACAGGCTTACTCTGTTGATGTGTTCCAATGCTAGTGGTGATTGCAAAGTGAAGCCTTTATTAGTGTATCACTCAGAAACTCCCAGACCGTTCAGGCAAAAGAATATCCTCAAGGCTAATTTGTGTGTGCTGTGGAGGGCAAACAGTAAGGCATGGGTCACTAGGGACTTTTTCTATGACTGGTTACACCAAGCATTTGCCCCAATGTGAAAAATTACCTAACTGAAAAGAAATTAGACCTTAACTGCCACCTGGTGTTAGACAATGCCCCTGGTCATCCTACAGACGTGGCAGAGCGACTTTATGGGGACATGAGCTTCATTAAGGTGAAGTTTTTGCCTCCTAATACCGCTCCTCTCCTGCAGCCCATCGACCAGCAGGTTATTGCAAACTCCAAAAAACTGTACACAAAAGCTCTGTTTGAAAGGTGCTTTGTAGTGACCTCAGAAACTCAATTGACTCTAAGAGAGTTTTGGAGAGAGCACTTTAATATCCTCAATTGTGTAAACCTTATAGGTAAGGCTTGGGAGGGAGTGACTAAGAGGACCTTGAACTCTGCTTGGAAGAAACTGTGGCCAGAATGTGTAGACCAAAGGGATTTTGAAGGGTTTGAGGCTAACCCTGGGAATCCTATGCCAATTGAGGAATCCATTGTGGCATTGGGAAAGTCCTTGGGGGTTGGAGGTTAGTGGGGATGATGTGGAAGAGTTGGTGGAGGAGGACAA